ACTAGACTGAGGAACAGCTTCTACCCTGAGGCTGTTAGACTCATGAATCTCTAACTAGAATAATCACTGTGAAAAACCATGTCATGTTGCTGCTGATCTGTTTCATGTTGCTGCTGATCTGTTTCAATGTTGATGTGTTCATGCGTGCACATCTGCTCACAGACTCATGTTCATGTTTGTGCTGATGTTCAATGTTTTATGTTATGAGTGCTTAGTGTATATTTAGTTGATGTTTTTCTTAGTTCATATCTTAGATGTTATTACTGTTTTTCTTAGACATTTTATTGTTGGATGTAACTGGGACCCTGTGTACATAATTTCGCTCCACCACATGTACCACATGAGGTGCGAATGACAATAAAGAAACTCTGACTCTGACTCTGAAGTGGCTGCCTTGAGCTGTGGCTGCAAGATTGTTGGTATTACTCAAGGTGGCCATCCTTGAACTCGGTGATGGACACCCAGGTTAGGGAGGCTGTCAAGCTGAAGAAGGAGCATCCGTCCTTGTTGGCTGGTGGGACTCCGGAGGCAGCTGAGGAGTACTAGAGGGCCAAGCGGTTTGCAGCCTTGGCTACTGCTGAGGCAAAAGCTTGGATGTGGAAGGAATTTGGTGAGGCCTTGGATAAAGCTGGTCAGCTCCGAGGAAATTATGGCAAACTATCAGGTGGCTGAGGAGGGGAAAGCAGCTCTTTACTAACACTGTGTTCAGTGAAGGTTGGGTGCTGTTGACCTCAACCAGTGATGTTGTCGGGAGGTGGAAAGAATACTTCTCGGACCTTCTCAATCCCACCGGCATGTCTTTCATGGAGGAAGTGGAGTCGGGGGACTTTGGAGTTGATCCATCCATAACCGTGACTGAGGTCACCGAGGTAGTTAAAAAGCTCCATGGTGGCAGGGCTTGGGGGTGGATGAGATTCGCACTGATTTCCTTAAGGCTCTGGATGTTGTGGGGCTGTCTTGAATGACATGCCTTTGCAATGTTGCATGGACATTGGGAGAACTGCCTCTGGATTCAAAAAGTGGGACCGGAGGGTGTGCTCCAATTACAGGGGCATTACTCTCCTTAGCCTCCCTTGTAAGGTCTATTCAGGTGTACTGGAGAAGTGAGTCTGATTGTTGGTCGAACCTCAGATCCAGGAGGAACAATGCGGGTTCTGTCCTGGCCGTGGAACACTGAACCAGCTCTTTACCCTCACTAGGGTCCTTGAAGGGTCATGAGAGTTTGCCCATCCAGTCTACATGTGTTTTGTGGACTTGGAGAAAGCTTTCAACCATGTTCCCTGTGCACACTGTGGGGGGTGCCCCATGAGTATGGGATGGGGGCTCGTTGTTGTGGGCTGTTCAGTCCCTATACAAGTGGTGCAAGAGTTTGGTTCACATTGCCGGTAGTAAGTTGGAAACCTTCAGTGTGTTAGTTGGACTCCACCAGGGCTGCCTGTTGTCACAGATTCTGTTCATAACTTTTATGGACAGAATTTCTCGGTGCAGCCAAGGGGTGAAGGGATTCCGGTTCGGTGGCCTCAGGATGCTATCTCTGCTCTTTGCAGATGATGTGGTCCTGATGGTGACATTGTGCCGTGATCTTCAGCTCTCAGTGGAGCGGTTCGCAGCCGAGTGTGAAGCGGCCATGGTCCTCAACCGGAAAAGGGTGGATTGCTGTCTTCAGGTTGAGGGAGAGATTCTGCTTCAATAAATGCATGGAACCGTTTTTCTGCATCATTTTTGGACAAAATGTTTTTAATCTTATCAAGTATTTAAGTAAACCTTAATGTTTTTTGAGTAAGATATTCCAGTGGGTAGGAGTTACATGGTGTATGTTTTTCTTTTTTCTTATGAGGGGCGGCTGTGGCTGAGTGGTTAGAGCAGTCATCCTCCAATGCAAGAGTTGGGGGTTCAAATCCACCAGCAGTCACATGCCAAAGTGTCCCTGCGCAAGACACTGAACCCCTCATAGCCTCTGATGTGTGTCCCATCGGTGTAAGAATGTCATAAAGCATTGATTAGTCTCTTTAGAATGATTTGTTCAATTAGCTTTGTAGAGATCTAGTAGAGTGCTGTATGAATGGATAAATAAGGCACAGATTGTGTTGTAAAGAGCTTTGAGTATCTTGATCAGATAGAAAGGTGCTATATAAGTACAGTCCATTTATCATTTATGCTTGCCTGAGATGGTGCAGAGTGACGGATCCTGGTGAGTGGAAGAGGCAATTTTCTTCACAACCTTATGCAATGATGGAATCAGGAGGTGACCAATGTTCTTTGGCAACCCCAGTCATTTGAAGAAACTATACTTTTAAGAAATATAGTAACTACAAAGTTTTCCCAAATGATAGAGGTGGTCAGTTTAAACGTATATGGATTTCGATGTGGCAACCCAATTTTTGTTAGGGACCTTTTATATGCATAGATGCAGTACACACACAAAAAGGAAGTTTTCCTGTTGCTTATTTTTCAAGTTATCCTACTCACAAGGTTTATATACAGTACATATTTGGTAGCAGCCATCTTGGATATTAACGCAACACCCCAATTTTTCATGGTGACCTTTCTTATGCCTAGAAACAGCCCCACACCGTCTGTACCCTACTTATTTTTCAAGATATGCTCAAAACATGCACAGGCACAGAGTATTTGCAACCTCCCTCCACTGCACAGCAAAATACAATAAGACATGCAGATAGAACTGATGAGTAGAAATTAAGCCTTAAACAGTCACTGTAGAAAAACATTACAAAGTAATGAAGATTTCCTGAACCATAAGTGGTCCAGAAGAGTGGTCATCACAATGTTCATGTATCAACAGTGATTTTTCTAGGTGATATGACAAGTTAAAGAGACATTTCATCCACAGTTTGGAAGAGAAAACTCTGAGCTCAGATATAATGAGAGTTTCTGAGACTTTGGTTGTGGGCGTTCTGCACTCTGGAGTTCTTATAGCCATGAAAACCACAGTGGGTGAAAGAATGCCTTCAGTTGCTTATTTAAACTGTACAAGAAGTGGAAAGTTTGTGGAAATAAAATGAATTTGCAAACATTTCTACATAAGTTTAGACAACCCAATATTAGTTTTAAGGTTGCTTCTAAGCTTATGCATTGGCACCCTTATTAATGATCCGTTTATTGAGTCAAAAGATAAACCTGACTTTTGGGTGTTCCTTGAATCCCAGTCCTCAAGATGAAAGTTCACTGTTTACCACAATTATTCTCTCTCACAAACTTGCTTCTGTTCTCTTGAACTTATCTGACATGATAAAGCTGTTTTTCAGGCCTTGAAGGTAAAAACGGTGTGCAGTGGATCTTACTGACCTTGAATTGTCAGCCTGGCGGTGTCCTGTGCCTGGCTGTACAAACTGCTCGCTCTGCAGATATAAACTCCCTCATTGCTCTGCTCCAGGTTCTCAATCCTATAAGAAAAACATGCATCCCACCCATATTGTATTTACTAATATAGTTAAGAATGCACCTCTCATGGATGAAAGTAAGGAGTAGATAAGGCTAAAATGATGTTTTGAGATGTGTTTAGCTGCAACAACAGCTGATGTTCTGGGTGTAACACCTTCATTAGTTTGGTCTGTATCTGTTATTCACCAGACCAGGAGCAATCACCTGAGCACTCCATCTTTTACGTGGTGGTTTGGCGGCAGGGCTCCACCTTCCTTCAGCCACTCGATCTTTGTTTCTACACCACCTGCTGCTGAACAGGTGAACTCCACAGCACTGCCCAGGGCTTTAACCTCCACCTGTGGGGACACACGTACGGCCAACGGGGCTGCAGAACAAGAAGAGACATCATTTACATTTTAGAAGCAGGTACTGGTACTAATTTAATTTCAGTCACTAATGTGCAGCACACAAGCTGTTTGGCTGCAGGCTGTTGTTTCATGTAAGCAAATTTACATCCTGTTTCTCTTTCCATACGTTTTTCGGCATCTAACTTGTTCCACAATGTTTGTGTTCGTTCAACTAGTCATATTTCAAAACATTCAGCTCATTCAGGACATTCCTGCTGTGACTTTGATATTTGTGCAATTTTTACTTATTGAGATATTTAGCTTTTTTGGCTGTGCTTTCCTCATTGAAAATGAATGGAGCTCTCTTCACGTTCTTCAAAGCCTTAGTGCTGTTTAAACTAGGGCTGCAGCAACGAATCGATAAAATCGATAAAAATCGATGATTAAAAGCGTTGGCAACAAATTTCGTTATTGATTCGTTGTGTCGCGCGATTATGCGTCTTTCACGGCGCTGCAGAGCTGTTTCGTTTTGTTCACGGGCAGTTCATTGTCAATGTTGACTGACTGAATAAAGTTTGAAAAAAAAAAAACTGCAGCGCGAGTTGAACAGAGCGAGGGGGGAGGAGGAAGCAAAGCAGAGTGTTTTTAAAGGAAATTTAAGTAAATTTTACAAATGACCGACGCAGCGAAAACTGTTCGACCCTAGTCCTCCAAAGTGTGGGAGAAATTCACAAAGATAAAAAATGAGAAACATGCAGCTTTGAAAATCACCGACACGACACGAGAGAACCACGGAGATGAAACGTAAACATGTCGGAGTCACGAGCTGCAGCTGATACAACATGTCTCACTCCCAACTCGTGTTGCAGGTGAATCTCTACAGTTTAACACATTGTTCTGTTTCAAGAGAGAAAACGTAACGTCAGTCTGTCTGTAGATGAAGCTGCTGTTTGTTTGTTTGTTTTCTGATTAATGACGGTGATAGAGAAGGTGTGTTACTTTTTATTTAATTTAATTGGTACAATCAGTGTTTAAATGGGATTTATAAATAAATCTAACACAAGATAATAATTTAACGATTAAGCTTCAACTTTTAATTTGCTGGCAAAGTCTGAAGACACTACAGGTATGGCAGGATGAATTGCATTTAAACAGTAATTAAAGTAATTTATTACATCTACTCAAATGTGTGTAATTAAGTATTTTATATATATGTGTGTGTGTGTGTGTGTTTAATTGCTCTTTTAGCTACTTTTGCCTGAACCTAACGCTGTAAGTGAAACAAGGCATTTCTTGAGTTGCTGTAAATTATGCTATAATAAATATTTACTCTCTCTTTCTAGAAAACAACAACAAACAACAACATCCTTCATGATGGACAGACATCATGGACACCACAGCAGCAGCTGTCTTCACTGAAATCATCCTTAAATGATCGTCACTGACATGAGGCCTCTGTCGATGGTTGAAGACGAAGGCTTCACTACAATAATCCACACTTTTAATCCAGGTTACACTCTTCCCTCAAGGACACATTTTACAAAGTAGCTACACACTGTGCAGGTATAAAGATACATTTGTATATATTTTTGTGTACATTTATTTTTTTAAGCTATTTGACTAACTTTTATTTTTTTATTATTCAATATTTTACTAACACAATAGTCAAATAGCAGCTTGTTTTTAGTGTGAATTGCTGTCAGTCAAATGTTCACTTTTGGAATAAAGGGGTGGAAATTAAAACGTTTTTTTTTATTTTTTTTTGCCGATTCATCGATTAATCGAAAAAATAATCGTCCGATGAATCGATTATTGAAATAATCGTTAGTTGCAGCCCTAGTTTAAACAGCTCATTTCAGCTTTTTTTCAGATTTCTTTCAGCTTCTTCGTGCTGATTTGAGCTGTTTTCAGCTTCTTTCAGCTAACTTTTAGATATCTTTCTGCTAACTTGAGCTTTTTCCTGTATTTCTTTTCCTACTTTGCACTAAATTACCGTACTTTCTGGCATATAAGTCACAGTTTTTTTTTCATAGATTTGTCAGTCCTGCGACTTATATATGTACTTTTTCCCCATACTCATAATGCAATTTTTGACCGACGCTTTAAATTTCTAAGAACTGCTACACTGAATCCTCCTGTGCACGCTTCACTCAGCTGGTGCAGGCAGAGGAACGTAGGAGAGCTAGCGGCTCTGGCCACGATGGATGGATGGCACCATGCTGCCCAGGCGAAATGAAGCTGTTTTGACCATTAAATAAACGTATAATAAATGCGACAGTTCAGCAGTGACGCATAATAAATGTGGCTTATACGCTGAAGCGACTTATATATGTTTTTTGTCCTCTTCATGATGCTTTTTCTGACTGATGTGACTTATACACCAGAAAATACGGTATGTCTGTAAATCATGCAGTGGCATGTGTAGAGACTTACATCTGATTGTGACTTTAGCAGTTACTTCGCTGCTGCCGATGTTGTTGCTGGCCACGCACTTGTAGCTCCCAGCATCCTTAGCAGTAGCCAGGTTAATCTGGAGGTCACCTCCGCTGACCTGAGCTCTTGGAGGGAGGGTCCCGTCCAGCTTAGTCCAGGTGTAGGTCAAGGGAGGGGTGCCATGTGCCAGGCACTGCAGTCTGATCACCTCCCCGACCCGCACAGCCACGTCATCAGGCACAGAGGTGGCGTAAGGAGGAGCTGGAGGCAGAAGAAAATAAATAAATAAATGAATGAATGAAATAATAAATGATCAAAGCTTAGAGCAGACAGATGAGATTACTCACTCTCCACATCTAACGTGATGGTGACTTCACTGGTTCCCATGGTGTTTGTGGCGCTGCAGATGTATTCCCCAGAGTCTTGTCGGTCCACACTGGGCAGAACCAGGTTGTTGTTCACTACCTTGTGTCTCCAGGGTAGAGGGGACCGCAGCTTGGACCACCTGATGGTCGGGGAGGGAAATCCTACAAAAAAACAAAAACAGGGAACTCTTTCAAAAACCCTCTTGTCTTATCTAAAATTGAGATGAACAGTTTTATTTTTGAGACACTCTCTTTCAGAGACACTGAGAAGACATTACCGTGGGCCTCACAGGGCAGCGTTACAGTCTGACCCTCCACCACAATCAGCAGAGGCTCAGAAACTGAGGCGATGGGTGCCGAGGGGACCTGGGCTCCTCCGTCAACCGTCACCTCCACCCTGGTGTCAGTGGTGCCCTCCATGTTCCGAGCCGTGCACACATATGTGCCACTGTCTTCTGGACGAGCCACGAGAATCTGCAGCACGACGACAGAAGCTAAAATCAGTCCCAGACCATCATTAACTTAAAGAAGAGAAAATACAAACCAGCTCAAGAAATTGTCTTTTTGTAAACACACAGCATGAATGTGGAGTTCTGAAGCTGAAAATTAGTTGTTGAAGTTAAGTAGAACAAAATGCTAGCTAAAGTATCTAAAGGTTAGCTAAAAGTCAAAAGTAGCAAAAGGCTAAAAGCTATGAAAGCAAACTGCTCCCAAAAAGCTAAAAGAAGAAAAAAGCTAGCTAAAAGTTGGAATTGGAAAAAGGTTGGCTAACATGAAACAATGGCTAAAAGCTAAAGTAGCAAAGACTAGTTAAAAGTATCAAAAGGCTAGCTAAAAATAACCAAATGCTAGTTCTAATCTACAAAGTAATAGTGGTAAAAGACTAGCTTAAGAGTTTAAAGTAACAAAACATTAGCTGAAAGCAGCATTTTAAAAAAATAGAGCAGATTTTAAAGAGAACAATGTTTTAAAGGAATAGAAAATATCCTAATGTATTTCTACTGGCAAAATAATTTAAATGTCTAAACTCCAAAACCAAAAGTCATATCATTCAGTTCCTGAATGAGCTGAATGTTTTGATATATTATGAAGCACAAAGTATGCAGAAGTTGTTGGATTGCCCATCCCCCTCCCAAAAAACCCCCCCAAAAACATACAGAGAAATTAAAAAACAGTTAAAACACAATAGTGTGCACGCCGACTCAGCTAATGCTCATTTGTTTACAGCACCTGCAGGACTGCATTAGACTCCATAGGCGCGGGGCTGTGCAGCAGGGTTTTACGGTTATTGTCCAGTCTGTGCCAGGTCACCGAGGGACGGGGCTCTCCTGAAGCTTGGCATTCAAGGTTAATGGGGTCACCCGCTCTGACCCTCACAGGTCCAACAGGGGTGACGGTGGCCACGGGAGACTCTGAAGGGAAAAATGCACTGACTGATATGTGATCCTCCACTAGAGGGAACTCTTTAACCTGCTTGGGAGCACACAGACATACCTTTAACGATCAGAGACACTATCGTGTGGGTGATACCAAACCGGTTGCTGGCCACGCAGCGGTAAGCTCCATGGTTCATAGGGCGAGCATTGCTGATGGTGATAACAGAGCCACCAGGGCCAACTCTGACATTATCTGTAAAACAGAGCAGGAAGTGACACATCAGATGTGCTGCAGGAAACAGCTGGAAAACACTGGACGGGTTAGCACAGCTCATTATGGGAACATGGGAGGACTCTCCGAGGAGAGCATTTAACCCCAATGAAATCATAACAATAGTTTCTGTTGGGGCGTAGAGTTTTCAGTCAAAAGTGCTCAGATGTCCCAGTCTTTCTACAAACAGACCTTTAATAGATCTGCTGCCTCGACTTTAATGAAAAGAAAGAATATGAGCCACAGACGTCAACAGACAAACCCTTCAGAGCTCATCTGGATTTATTATGTTATATTGTGAAAGTTCTTTTTGTACATAATAAAGCTTGTAAAAGTGGGAAAAGAACAGATGAAGCTCTCAGAATGAAACAAGTTGTAACATTAAAAGAGCTTACTTTATACCAAGTGAAACTTCAGTTCTGTAAACAAGCAAGTGCACAATGCAGAGCAGTAACTGTGTGTAAATAACCACATCACTGTGGTCGGGTCCTTGGCTCTTACCTGGCAGCGGCTGGTTGTTGACCAGTTTCCATTCCAGTCTGACGGGTTGAGATCCACTGTAGACCTGGCACCTGAAGCTGGCCGACTCCCCCACACCCACCGCAGCACTGTGGGGCTCAATGCCGATGATCGGGCTTTGCAGGCCTGCGGCAGAAACCAGCGGTATGAACTAATCTCTATCTGAGAAAAAAACATTCCCTTTTGATTTACATGCTGGATTATTCAGAGCATTAAATTCTCCGTTTAGTGTGGCCGTGGGATACTTTGGCAGTGAGTAAAGAGGCTCCAGCAAGAAGTGGAGGAGGATGAGATCATGGGACAGTAGCGAGGAAAATCATTTAACATGAAGGCATGGTGGAAAGAGGAGGAGAGGTGGTGTGAGTCTGTGAACAACACCCTGCAGTGTGCTGCCTGGCCCTCAGAGTGTCTCCCTGCTGCTGCACTGAGTCACTCTGACAACTTTGAAAGCCTGGTGATAGAACTCGGACATCTTTAATAACCTAGTTAAAACTCTGATATCTTTAAGAACTAGGGGTGCAACGATTACAGTTTTCGGGCCGATCACCAATCACAGATTTCTAAAAAGTCTGACCTGCCGATTCCGATTTTGGCCGATACCGATTTTGTTTTATAAGCAACACTGTCAGGTGTTATAAAGTTGAAATGCACCTTCAATTTTCCAATATTATTTTATTGGAAAACATACTCTTGAACAATATCCTAGAAACAAACCAAACTTGTTTTAACTGGCCATGAGGTAGTGCTCTGAAATATAAATGAAGTTTAGACAATTGTTAAAACAAACAAAAAAATCGGTAAAATCGGTTTCTCATGCAAGTATCGTCCGATTTCCGATTTCCCAAAATTAAGGAAATCAGGGCCGATAACCGGCCGATTTATCGGTGCACCCCTATTAAAAACCTGGCTAAAACTATGACATCTTTAATAACCTGGTTAGAACTTTGACATCTTTAATAACCTGGTTAAAACACTTACATCTTTAATAACCTGGTTAAAACTCTGACAACTTTAATAACCTGGTTAAAACTCTGACATCTTTAAAAACCTAATTAGAATGATGACATCTTTAATAACCTGGTTAGAACTCTGACATCTTTAATAACCTGGTTAAAACTCTTACATCTTTAATAACCTGGTTAGAACCCTGACAACTTTAATAACCTGGTTAAAACTCTGACATCTTTAAAAACCTGGTTAGAACTGCTGAGACGTTTAGTCAAACTGCCTCACTTCAACTAAAGCAGTGATATTAAACTACTGGAAAAAACTGAAAACATTCTCGTGTTCATTTCTCCATTTGAGAAGCATAAGACTCCCTACTTGTGTTTTTTTTTTTTTTTACTTACGTGAAGAAGATGAGGTGACAGACACGGAGACAGAAGCCTGGAGGACATGAGGACCTGAGCTCCAGGAGTTGTCCTGCACCCGGCAGATATACTCTCCTGAGTCCTCAGAGGAGGCTGACAGGATGCGCAGCTGACTGCCAACAATCTGCAGGATGGAGAGGGAGAAAATGTGATGCTTAATTTGGACATGAAAAGAATCTGGTTTAAAGATCTGAGCAACTTTGGTAAGAGTACCGTATTTTTCGCTGTACACGTCATACCGCCTTATAAGTCGCATCAGTCCAAATATGTCTAATAAAGTGGAGAACAACATAAATATGTCGCTTCTCCATATACGTCGCATCTATTATGCGTCACCGCTGACGCATCGTGTTTGTTAGGCATCACCGCTGACAACCTGGAAATACAGGCTGGTGTTGTGCCAAATATCTATTGGCTGCCAAATGGCGGCCACGGGGAGGACTTTAACAAGAATTTATCAAGATTACCACTTAAAAACAATTATTTATTTGCTTAAAATTGTCTCAGTTGAACTTTTACTTAATAAATGAACTTTGAAAGTCAAATCAGCTGCATTTTCGAAAGTATTCGTTGCCTCGGTGCTCCGGGAGCGCACAGACAGGTTGTCAGTGGTGACACATAATAGATGCGACGGATACGGCGAAGCAAAGTATTTATGGATTTTTCCACTTTATCAGACATATTTGTACTGATGCGACTTATAGGGCAGTGCGACATGTACGGCGGAAAATACGGCATGTAAAATCCTAAATTTAATGTATGAATTTCTTACTTTTCATCATGACTGTATGTGAGACAAATATCAGAATGACAGAAATCCACAGGCTGTAAGAAGACCGGCCTTTTTCACTATTAGAGCTCTTCATTTATGAGACATTTATCCGGGGAAGCAATAGGACCAGAAAGGTAAACGGGGAAAACGACAAGCCAGTGTCAGATACCCCAGTCGGCCTGAGCAACGTGCAGGACGCACTGGAACAATAAATCGAATCCGTGACGACTTCAGCAGGCTACAGCGCTGACAGGAAGTCCTGTTAATATGTTGTTGCCACATTTCACAAAGCTCCTTCAGTGGGATTCACACTTCCTGTTCTGGGTCGAAGCTGTTTCATCATTTAGGAAACTGTCAGATTCTTGGTGCTGCCCAGTAAATTGTGTGATTATGATTTTAAAGATTTCAGGTTTGGAAAAAACACAAACATGCTAGAGCAATGAAAAACGGTGGATTATGATGAAAATAACACAAAGTTCACAGGTGATCCACACAACAAACGCCTTGTAGACTTTATGTCTGAATCTGCTCTAACTTGTGCTAAACATGTCTTGAAGTGTGTCGGTGAAGGCCATCGTTGCACTTTGTTCATTTACCACCAGCCACAACACTCGGTGATCAAAGACTCAGTGCAGAATGTGCTTTTGGGACTTCTGTATTTTACCAATATGAGCAAGACTTTAACTTGAAAATACAAAAAGTGGCAGCAAATATTCCAGAACCTGAATATACTGCTGAGCATGATGAGTCCCCTCACAGATGTGCATGATACATGCACCAACAACAGAAGACAGCTCGAGGAAAAGCCAGGTGGCTCGTCACTCTTGTAGTCTGCAGGAAACCATATCAGTGATTTTTAAAATAAATGTCAGTTTTTATTTTGTCAGAGCAGAGGAGTCGTCACTTTGTAGTCCAGCAGACGAAACATGAAGGTAGCTGCCATCGTTTGTTCTCTTCAGGTAAAATATTCATCTGATGCAGAATTTATATAAAGACAGCATCAATGAAAATATTTCTAAGTGGTGTTACTAAACTTGCACACAGAGACTTATAAGTCGGACGTATTTTCACTTTGACAGGTATTACATGTATTTTGGAACTGCTAAATAAAATGCCCGTCCAGACGTTCAGAGTGGAGCAAAGCTGAAAGCTTGTGCATGTCCGTGTAAATGACACACGCTGGTGTTTGTGTGGTGACCTGGTGGTTGGCCGACAGGGGTCCGCTGGCTCTCGTCCAGGTGACTTTAGGAGGGGGGTTTCCAGGAGCGAAGCAGTTGAGCTCCAGACTTTGACCCTCTTGGACATCAGCAATAGATGGCTGGATGGTAACAGCTGTGGAGCTGTAGTCTGCTGCTTGAACATAAAAAACATTTTTTCTTCTTCAGATTATAAAATTTATGTGCATCACAAAGGTAAACATAATAAAACTAATCTACACAAGCGATATGCCGGTGTCCCCCGAGGCTGGAGGAAGTGAATACTGAATGTTTGTAGTTTTAGAGATGAGTAGTTTTCTGGACTGGAAGTGAAAAGGAAATGTAAGTACTGTACAAGTACAGTAAACCTAAATGTTTTTGTGCAAGACATTCAAGCAGGTAGGAGTTACACTGAAGAACAGAGGTAGTTTTTATATTTGCTTGTTAGAGGCAGTGCAGGGTGATAGATCCTGGCAAACTGAGGGAGAAAGTTTATTCACCATCAGGTGCAATGACAGAGTCAGGGGGTGGCCAGTGGTGGCCATGCCCACCATAAATTTATCTTATAAAATATAAAAACTAGAAAGCAATGTTTCCTTAAATGATAGGGGTGGCCAATGTACACACGCACGCACGCACGCACGCACGCACGCACGCACGCACGCACGCACGCACGCACACACACACACTTGTTCTTATAAACATTGACCCTTACCCTAAACCTAACCATTACTAGTTTATGCCTAACCCTAACCCATCCGCAATTCACACCTTAGTCCTAAACCTACCCCCTAACCCCCCAGCAAGACTTCTCCTTATGGGGGACTGGCTTTGGTCCCCATAAAGAGCAGTTTGTCCTCACAATTAGGGGTGCAACGATTGCAGTTTTCTGGTCAATCAACGATCACAGATTTCTAAAAAGACTGACCTGCCGATACCGATTTTGTTTTATAAGCAACACTGTCAGATTTTATAAGGTCACAATGCGCCTTCAATTTTTCAATATTATTTTATTGAAAAACATACCCTGGAACAATATCTTAGAAACAATACAAACTTGTTTAACTGGATATAAAGTAGTGCTCTGAAATATAAATGAAGTTCAGACAATTATTGTTAAAACTAAAAAAATCGGTGAAATCAGTTTCTCATGCGAGTGACAGATGATTTCCGATTTCCCAAAATTAAGGAAATGGGGGCCGATAAATCGGCCCCAATTTATCGGTGCATCCCTACTCCCAATGCATGATTTTTTGTAAAACTGGTCCCCACAATGTAACCTGAAGCAAAAACACACACACACATGATGGTGGTTATGTAGAATTTTGACATAACAACACACTTTCTAAAGGAACCTTTCCTCCGATAAGATGTAGTCACAAACCAAAAAGAAAGTTAGCCCGTTGCTTATTTTTAAGTTGTCTAGCTGGCAAGGTTTACTTATATATAGTGGCTGCCATCTTGAATTTTGACTTGGCAACCCAATTTACTGGTATGAAAGGAACCTTTCTTACACCAAGATGCAGCCACACACCAAAATGGAAGTCAGCACCTCGCTTATTTTTCCAAGTTATTATGCTCACAACATGCACGGACAGATGGACAGAGGGTTTTTCCAATTCCTTCTGTTCACTCCACGATGGAGGACAACAAACCAAGAGATAAAAACAAGATAAAGAGATAAAAACAAGTCAAACACCAATAAATTGACTGCTTCTTTTTTCATGATGAAGCCGCCACACCTTTAAGCACGGTGACTCTAATGGGAGCGCTGTTCGAGCCGATGCTGTTGCTGCCAACACACATGTAAGTGCCTGAGTCAGACATCTTGATTTCAGGGATGAGCAGGGTACCGATGTCTGTGCGGTCTGTTCGGGCCTGAAGAGAAAAACACAACAAGGATTACAAAATTATTTCAGTTCTATCCTCTTCAACAGCAGTGATGGACAACATGGGTCACTACATCTGCACCATGACAACATATTAATATATTAAGTTTTATTTTGAAAACAAAGCATATCACTTACCTGTTGTATGCTCCTTAAAACAATACAAATATAGCATTGCCGACATGGAGACATAACTAGCTACTAGCAACACAAATACACTACAGCAGAGATCTTTAGGGCAAGACAAGAGCTATCACTGCAGCAGTTTGTTGGTTTATTTGTGATTTCAGTGATGCTGGCCCACGCACAGAGAAGAGCAGGACCAGCATGGCAGAAGTGATTGGTGGGGTTATAACTGTGAATTTATCATGATTAATTTTTATACATTAATATCTGTTCTAATAGAAAATTAATGATTTGTGATTATGATCATGAGGAAGAAATTAGCACAGATATGACAGTTTGGAGACAAATCAGTCAGTGCCAAAGGTTATTTTAGTCAGCATAACAAATCAGGTCTTAAAGGAACATTCCCACCATTTTATGATGGAATTCTGTGGAAAACTTATGAACAATGGTAAATATCTTACCTGTTGTAAATAGCTTTTTGAATAGCCTGTTTGGAAAAATGTCTGACAGGCCTGATAGAAAAGAGCTAGTTGGAACACTATTATTTAACCTTTTATTTCATCTTCAATTTTACATTAAACGGGTATTTTGACAGAAATATTACCACTGAAAGTGCTACAGCCAACTGTTACTGCTGTAGCTATTTGACATGTAAATATACCTGTTATATAAAACTGATGGTGGTATAAAATTTTCCATTAACAGCTACAAGATGTTTGAGATTGGAGTCATATTAAGATTGTAGTGAGTCTTGACCATGTTCAGACTAGCCATTAGCTCATTAGTACGGTCAAACTCTAACCCTATCTCTCTAAAAGGAGGTAATTTAAATAGCTATTTACAACAGGTAAGATATTATTTGTTCATAATTTGTTCAGTCCTTCTTTAAATTGGCCAGATAATCCCTTTAATTGTAAAGTTACAGTCTGGGAATGGTTACTAACATGTGACCTCCATTAAAGTGGAAATATCCACACCAAGTGTCCGACCCGAAAACCTGAATCAACCTTATTTTCTTTCTTGACCTTCTAGCACTAAACCAGTCCTGCCCATTATGAGTGTCCTCAAATGCAGGTGAAAATCGTTTTGAATGAAAGTTTAAAACGCTTTAAAGAAAAAGAGAATGAGGACGTCTGCGGATGGATTACTGTATCGGCGGTTAGAGGAGCAAAGGGAGGGGGATGTTGGGGCATCCGCAGACAAAGCTGCTTAGCTGCAGCCCGGTCAACCATGAGGGACGCTAAACCGAGCTGTGATCAAGGCAGGCTGCGCCTCAGTGTGAGTCTGAACCCATTGAAGAGTTTTCAAAGCAAGCCGTTTGCTAGAGCATACAGAATTTCTGCGTGGTCGCACGGCAGAGCCCGGCTCCCACTGGGAAAGGCTGACACAACGCAGCGGCTCCCTGAGGCAGAACTAAACGGGCCCTGAAGCTTTGGCCGAGCCGAGAAGGACAGCGCAGAAGCCAGACAAAAGCCCTCCAGGGCAAAGGGACAGAGGGTGGCGCCTCATACGGTGCCAAACATGTCGAAAATACCTGCAGCACCTACTGTCTACTTAGTGCTGTGGAATGCTGGGGTTCATCTGGGAGCGAAACGAGGATGGTTTGATGTGGACAGCACAACACGAGACACTATGAAACACCTAAATTACCACAACAACAGACACGACATGCAGGAGGTCCACCAGACCCTGCTTGCTGTGTTTGGACTGAGTGAGCAGCTGTGGGACATGAACGCAACTCACAAAGTGTGAATGAAGGACACAGTTGGACATGCACTTAGTGGACAGGATGTAAAGACGAGGTTAGATGGATGTGAGCTATGTGACAGGACAGACAGACAGCAGACAGATGGACAGACCTGCAGCTCCTCAATACGTCTCTGTAACACACCGAGACTGTTGCTTTTAAACTGATGGAAACCGTGAGAGGGAATGGCCTGAGCAAATGGCAGAACAGGACAGGATCAAAAAAAAAAGAGGGAGGAGACAAACAAAAGGTAAATGGTCAAAATCCTGAAAAAGTCCAAATAAATACCAAAGACACTGGACAAACCCTGATGTGTAGGCAGAGAAACAGCACAGGCAAATGCAAATACAAGTGTATTACGTTCTGTTTGTCATTTAACTTTTCCAAGGAGAAGTCAGGAACAACAGTTGAATATTTTTTAACCAATCATGGAGGTGGTGTGTCTTTTCTCACCTGTTGGGGGAGTTGTCCTCCATTTTTCACCCAGGTAAGTTTTGGTGCAGGCGAGCCAGACGCTCTGCAGTACAACCTCAAGGTTTCGCCTTCGTGGATTTCAGCATTTTGAGGACTCACTTGGACTTGGGGCACGGTGCCGGGGCCACTGGGGTTCGATTCTAAACCCAGAAAAAAGGCAATTTGACCATTTATCACCATAATAACTCCAGTTGACAGGGTTTGTCAGATTTTATAAAAAATAACATTTTTGTTATCAATGATATGTGTCTGTAACAGCTTCACACCTTTTGGCGTTTTACAACCTGGACATTACATAGATTTTTATTTCACTATGAATGATCTGCACAAAAACCTACAAATTACTAAAGTTAAATGGGAGTTAAAAAACTATTCTACTGACCAAAAATATGTACAATAGTCCCTCGCTACTTCACAGTTCGACTTTCGCGGACTAGCTCTATCGCGGTTTGCGGACGTTCAAAAAATTGCACATAATTGTATTTATTTTTATACACATGATTATGGACTGTACATTAATATCACTGTACTGTACTCGTGGTTGTGAAAAGGTTAATGACAAAAAAAAAAAATTTAGACAGCCGCCGCCATTTTGTAGTTTTCTGTCATTCAACCCCCAAATGTACTGTAATCGCCACTCAGACGGACTACATTTCCCTCAAATCAATGCTGTGCTGTACTGTAGTGCCTCTGAGCACTGCTTTCTGCCAAACAGTATTTTTGCAAAGCAAAGTCATAACTGCTGAACCAGCCTTTCAAAAGAAAAATTTAATTCATGTCACATGGAAAAGTTTTTGTTTTAAGAAAATTCAACTTTACAAACGTAAGACTCTAAAGAAATTGTAAATCATGTGAGGACATGTCTCTTTAAGAAACAGAACGTCGTACTATGTGACCCGGGTGCTGATGGGTTGTTACAGTAGCAGGCGGTCTGTTCACCTGTGCTCTCTTTCAACCGGATGGCTCCAAACTTTCTGTGTATTCTAAAGTTTCTGGGGGCGAACCGAAACACCAGTGGAAGATGTTGACGATTAAAGAGAATGGACTAGCACCTTTCTATCTTATCGAGATACTCAAAGCTCTTTATCACGTTCATACACCGATGGGACACACATCGGAGGCAATGAGGGGTTCAGTGTCTTTTCCAGGGACACTTCAACATGTAACTGCTGGTGGAATTGAACCCCCAACTCTTGCATTGGAGGATTACTGCTCTAACCACTCAGCCATAGCCGCCCACTTCAGCTGTTCCATCTTCACAGCCGAGAAAGTGGAACTTCTGGACAAACTTTAAGATGGCCGTACCTACGCGGATGTTGCCGGCCGCCTACGGCATGATGTTAAGATGGAAGCTGCACTGGTCGTGTGGATAAATGATCGCAGAAAAAACATCACTTTGGATAAAAACGATTTGGATTAAAGTGTTTCTCTGCACGGAGAAGCTGTGTCCGCTGATCTAGCAGGAGTGGAGGAGTTTGTTAACACAAGTTCAAAGATCTGATCACCGAGGAGGTCTACAGGTCTGAACAAGGTTTTTAACGTGGACCAAACGGGCCTGTTCTGAAAAAGGATGCCATCTCACACTTTTATTATGAAGAATGCAGCCAAAGCACCTGGTTTCATCTCATCTTCATCACCTTCTTCATCATCACTGGACAGCTAATTCTTCATCTTCATCTTCTCCGGTGAGTATATTTAGATTAATATTTTAAAAGGTTTAAGAGTTTAGAAAATTGTTAGGAACATTGCAAGAGTGTGGGAAGGGTTTAAAACGCCTTAATATATACCTGTATATAAATACTAAAATAAACTACTACTACTACTACTACAACTATTACTACTTGTGTACATAATTTTGTTCCTTCACATGTACCACGAGATGGTAATGACAATAAAGTTTACTTGAACTTGAACTATTGTATCCCTAATTCACTGATTTTCACTTATCGTGCGCACACGTGTGCAGGGGGGCGTGGTCCCTAATACCCACGATAATCGAGGGGCTACTGTATACAGAAAAATGAAAAAGTGGTCCAAGCACATTTATTCAACCCACTGCCACTTGTGTTCAACAATCCAGCCAGAGATTGTCATTTGGATTGAGGTCTGGACGTTGACTGGGTCATTCCAGGACATTTAGCTGTTTCCTGTTAAACCACCGGAGAGTTGCTTCAGCAGTGAGTTTAGGGTCACCGTCCCGTTGGACAGTGGAGCTCCGCCTCAGTCTTAAATCTCTGCAAGACTCAAACATGTTTCCCTCAAACAATTCTCTCTATTTTGGTCCATCCATGTTTTGTTCAACTCTGACCAGTTTCCCAGTCCATACTAACGAAAAACATCTCCACAGCATGATGCTGCCACCACCGTGCTTCACTGTAGGGATAGTGTTCCCTGCATGATCAAAGGTGTTGGGGTTTGTAGGAGACATGGTATTGTCCTCGATGACCGAAAAGTTAAAGTTTAGGCTCATCTGATTCATCTATTTGGGAAAATGTTTTACTTTAATCAGTCAAGTCTTAAATCAACTTTTTTTCCTGGCCTCTCTGTGCAGTATGCAGCTGGTAGGGCTCTATAAGCTCCCATCTCTGAGGAAGAGCTGCCCAAACATTTAAGTTGTCTTTGGTTGCTTCTCTGATTAATGTCCTCTTTGTCCACTATTCAGTTTATACATATTTTGTAAAGATTTATTGCTTACAAATAAGTATAAAGCCTATTTAAATGCTGTAAGGCAACAAAACAAGGATTATTAAAGGAATTAACATTTTTGCGATCCATTGAACATTTCTCTTGTTCTTCAGCAGGTGGGCTTACGTTACATCACAGAATTGCTTTATCCTATATTCTACCCATCACTGCTGCAGACTGAGAGAACAGCTGTCTGACCTACAACATGTAACACTCCCACTCATAACCACAGAGCATACTTTGGACATAGATGGACGCCCGTGCTGAGTGCTCGCCGTGAGTGTTCAGGGCCTTGCACGTGTACTCCCCCTCATCAGCCAGGTCCACAGCTGTGAAAGTCAGGATGCCATTTCTTATCACAGCTCTGGGAATCATTCTGTTCCCAGGGCCTCCTGTAACACATATTTGCATTTTGTCAGATTTATTTTTTATTCGTCATAGAGTTTATTTGTAGCTTTACAAATTAGTTTGTACAAAACAAAACTATGTTTTTATTCCAATGACAGAATATATCTCAACAAGGTCTGCAGGAAACTACAAAACAGAAACATTGGGTGGTCGTACCAATCCATTCAATGGATGGCGTTGGGTTTCCAGTCACTGAGCACCGAAGCTCAGCTCGATGGCCCTGCTGGACATTTAACACTGAGGGGGTGATGGTGGCGATGGGCTGGACCCCCTCCACAGCTGCAGAAGGAGGCATGGCAGTCAAACAGAGCTCTAATGTGGAGACATCTCAGAGAAATAAAGCAGGACAACGCAGGATGGATTCAGTGTAGAGGTAAAGCAGAAAGTGATACCTTGTCAGCAGTGTAGCATCAGCACCACTGTATCATTGTAAGTTGTGGGAATGATTTTAAACTTTGGGAACTGACTGTTCTGAGAGCTGCCGCCTTTAAACGTGGCAGCCAGACACTCAACACAGACAAAACAGACGAGAAAAGGGAGGCAGGCATCACCATTACCCCTGGGCATATTATGTTTTCAGTCATTTAGCTTGGTTCTATCCAACCCAATATCTCAAAGAAACAGAGCAAAAATATTTTGGGTTTTTTCGGTACAGAGGGAGGAACGTGTAGAGGAAAATGTCTGGGACAGTTAATCTGAACTGAGCACTGACTCTTCAGTTAATAAACACTCCAGGTTGTAAAGAGGATTTGTTGTTCTTTAAATAAAAACTTGGCAGATGTGACACAGAGCAATAAAAGTTATTAAAAATACTTTAAAGGTGTTTAATGGCGTTTTCAACTTCTAATGTTAGAAAGTGGAAAAGAATCTTCAAGTGCTGACACATAAAGAGGTTCTGTTTGCTAAAGACTCGACTTCAGAGGAATAGTTCAGACATTTTAAATTGAGGTGTAGGATTCTGAACAATTACTAACCAACCTGTTGCTGATAGTTCTTTGGATGACTTCGGTTTGATGAAACTTTGCGTCCGACAGAGCTGATGAGTTCACTCCAGACTGAGTGTGGTCAAAACCAAGACCAAACGGACCGGAGCCATTTTAAGATGGCAGCAAGTTCCTATGTTTCATAGCTGTTAATGTGTCAGACTTTTACACCATTGTCACATTTTTTATTATACACCAACATTTACCTTTAATGTTATGGCTATTTATATCCTCCAAATCATCCATCCATCCATCCATCCATCCATTTTCTTTACCCGCTTGTTCCATTTTGGGTCACGGGGGTCGCTGGTGCCCATGTCCAGCAATCACTGTGCGAGGGGCGGGGTACACCCTGGACGGGTCGCAAGTCCATCACAGGGACACATAGAGACGAACAAACATTCACTCTCTCATTCACACCTAGGGACAATTTAGAGTTACCAATCAGCCTAACATGCATGTTTTTGGACTGTGGGAGGAAACCGGAGTACCTGGAGAAAACCCACGCATGCACGGAGAGAACATGCAAACTCCACCCAGAAGGCCCCTGGACCGGGGTTTGAACCAGGGACCTGCTCGCTGAGAGGCAGCAGCTCTACCAGTTGCGTCACCGTGCTGCCTCCTCCAAATCAATTCAATTCAATTTATTTATATAGTGCCAAGTCACAACAGAAGCCATCTCAGGGCACTGAACAGAAACAGCAGCTGCAGTAAGTTGTAGTTGTAGTAAATATTTTTCTGCTGGAATAAATGTGTAACACAAACCTGATGGTAGTGGAAAGGTTTATACAATGAAGTTTGCATGAACTGCTATGAAATTTTGAACTTTGTTGTATGACAGCTAAGTGGGTCTTCTAGGATTACTCATAATTTGCTTGTCAGCACAGGTTGTTCACAGCCTCTCCAATGACGTCCACTTCAAAATGTCCGAACTATTACTTTAAAGAAAAAAGAACATTTGTGCTCACCGTTCCATTCTTATCTGAGTGACAGGAGTTTTGTGTTAATGCTGGTAATATATCATCTGCTTCAGGGATTCTTTCCTGTGGTGTTCCACTGGGCTTGATTCTTGGACACTTTCTATTTTCACTGTATTTGCTCCCTTTGGGGTCTATTCTGAGGAATTATGGGCTTTATTTTCATTGTTATGCTGATGATTGTCAGATTTGTCTGCCCTTAAAACCCAATAGTTCTTGCTCCATTCAGCCTCTGTTAAATTGTCTTGATGACAGTAATTCATGGATGGCTTCAATTTGTTTGTTTTAATGATCAGAAAACTGAAGTTATTGTGTTTAGCCCTAGCTTTATTGCTGTCACTGTTCTGTAAACCTTGACTCTGTTGAGCCATATTTTAAGCAGTCTGTTACTCATCTCAGGATGGTTTTAGACTCTGACTCTGTTTAATTAACAGATGAACTCTGTTCTGCAGAAAAGTTTCTTCCAATGAAGACGGACAGCTTAAATCAGTGTTGACCAGCTCTGACCTTGAAAAAATAGTCCATGCATTTGTTACAACCCGACTTGATTACTGTGATACTCCTTATGTTGGGTCAGTCAGGTCTCCCTTTCACGTCTCCAGCTTGTCCAAAATGCTGCAGCTCAGCTATTAACAGGATCTAGTAGGTTTGAGAATATTTCACCAGTTCTGTCCTCCCTTCACTGGCTCCCTTTATGTATCAGAATAGATTTTAAAATTCTCCTGTTGACCTTTAAGTGCCTAAATGACCTTGCACTCTCATACCTCTCTGACCTATTTCAACCTTATGTTCCTTCTTGGTGCTGAGATCATCTGATCATCTGATTTTGGTTGAAGCTCAGAGGAGATCAGGTTTTTTCAGTCGTGGGCCCTAAACTTTGGAACAACCTGCCCCCCAACATTAGACAAACCACTTCACTTCCTGTTTTTAAATCTCTTATAAAAACACACCTGTTTTCAAAAAAGTCCATGCTCAATAATTCAAACACCCGTTTTCATTAACTTGTAACACAGTGTGATTTGATTTAGTATTTTATTGTTTTGTTTATTATGTTTTATGCTTTTAATTAATTTTTGTTATTTTTTCTTCTTTAAATTACTGCCATTGATTTTTATTGTTAAGCACTTTGGTAACAGCTGCTGCTTTTAAATATGCTTTATAAATAAAACTGACTTGACTTTCGAAAGATGGCCATCAAAGTATTTCTTAGAGTCCATGAGCTAAATGCTAACATCAGTTTCACGTTTTTAAAGAAATGTACTGAAAACAGGTTTTAAATTTGAGCTTCTGATGAAAGTTGTGGTTTTACAAAACTAATCATTTATTTTAAGCCATATGGATAAAATTACACAAACAAATCAAGCTGATAATAAAGTTGAGCTTATGGTGCTGTTAGAGGGAAAGACATCCTTCACTTTTTGACCTCATCAAACTTTTTTCTGTCATTTGTAGCAGATGTGTTTTCTGGATGGTTGAGTTTGTTTTGTTTTTGTGTTATTGTTGATTCAGTTTGTTTGTCTCCTGGTTTTCAGTCTGTTGTCAGCCCTTCATTCTGTCCATCTCCTGAATGTTCCCCGAGTGTCCATTGCACCGTTATTTCTTTTTAGCTCGTTTTGTCTGCATCCTTGGGTTGTTTATCACAAAACCTGACAAGATGAGGCAAATATTACAGCTGTGAAGCTGTTTTAATTCAGTTCTGCAAACTAAGAATAGCCTAATTGCACTAAACTGTCTTTTGCAATTCAGTATTTTATTTTTCCAGCAATGTTCAGTCAGGCCATCTGGATGGTTTCAAACAATCCAGATGACCTGACTGAACATTGCTGGATTTTTACCTGGATTATTGAGCATGAACTTTGATGTTTTATTTTTCCTTTCAATATAGTTCACATTTCATCCATTGTCAGTTAACTGAATCGACAATAGATGGCAATACATTATGAAATACATGTGATATTAACACACTCCTTTCTGCAAATAAAAGTGTGGAGACGCTCTGCTTGGCACACGGTGTAAAGGTTGGGATGTATTAAGCACAGTTATGATGTTTGAAGCCCAGCATGTTTCCTTCAGAGATAAAGGACAGCGCAGAAGACAAAGCAGAAGAAATGACATTTGCTGAATGTGGAAATTCATTATAAAAAACATTCAAGTGCTCATTTGAATGATTTTCTAAAATATTGCACTTTTAACCTGCCTCTGTTCTGAAGCTTAACTTTTATTTATAGCCTCGAGTCTGTGAGGTCTATTTTTACAGCAGTGTCTATATTTAGTGTAAAACAAAGAGTGATCTTTTACAAAGATGCAAAGAAGACATTCAGGAAAAGGTGACCAAAAGAAAGAACATGCATCTGTTCCTGCAGTGATGGACCCCCATGAACCCCAAGAGTAAGGTGGGACCCACTGATGCTCATGTACAGATTTGACTCTCAAAAAAAACACAAAGAGACTTTTTTAGCCTAAAATGACTGTGATGTTTGGTGCAATTCCAATAGACAGAACATGGGCATCAGCAGCCCCCCACCCCCACCCCAGTGTATCCATGCTGTAGAAGATGAGTGCAAGCATAACAGAGAGGGAGAGACGGGTCCGACCACGGAGCCCAGCAGAGAGGAAACCATGCGGACTTACGCTTTCTGTGTCCTTCAAACATTTCATAGGCTGTGTAAAACATCTGAGTCTGAGAGGCCTCTGGAGATGGAGGGAGGTGGGGATGGGGGGGACAAGTAAACTGACAGGTCAGCTCTTCCACATCAGCAGCAGTAGTACCTCCTATCTCCCCCAGAGAGACTTACAGAACAGCCTTCTCTGCAGCTGGGCCACCGTAGTTTTATCACACACAGGAAAACATGCTGACAATCCTAAACCTGAGTTCATCTGACGTCACGCTGACGTTCAGGCAACACAGCAAACGCAGTACCGTTGAATTCATCATTTCAATGCTTTAAATTTTCACACTTACCTGATAAATGCACAAAAAAACAAAGTGCACTTGATGCATTGGTGAAATAAAGTTATGCTAGTTTCAAAGCTAGAACAGACACGAGCACGATACATTCATGGCTTTAAACATCAAGACGGACAAACACACACGTGCACGGACTGCGAGTGCTCCAGCAGCACGCTGTTTGCAGAGCAGCTCCATGTTAGACATGCAGGTTAGTAGCAGAAACTGCTTCAGACATTAAACTAAATGTAATTTTCTTAACTGTTAAAACTGAACGTACAGCTTGTGGAAATGAACAGGTAAACACCCTTCCCATAAATTTAGAAATCACTTTAGTTTCATATTTTAATTCTTCTTTTTTAAACAAAACATTTTCACAGTTGGGATAAATACATTACAATGTGAAGTGGACATCACACCACTTTGGTGTTGATCAAACAACATTTTAAAGAAAGAATTTAGTAAGAAATTTACATTTGCAATCAAAAAGCACTTAAATCAATTAAAAAACACCAAACAGTTGTGATGATAAACAAAACAGTTAAAAATGTGACCAGTTTTCTATGAAATATAGAGACATATATTATTACAAATGCACTAAATATAAAGTTTACATCATGCAGGATATTTGCATCCACCAAAAGAAATAAAGAAAAGTCAACATTTCTGGTCAAATATAATAACATATACGGGTAAAACAAACTTAAGGATAAGGATTGCTTTTGTTTCCAAGTATTAAGGCTAAACAGTTTGAAGTTGAAATGTCAAGAGAGGCTAAATGTTGAGATAAAAATTTAGTGTTTCAAGAAGAAGCACGAGTAGTGAACCTTGTGGTGCTCCTGAACCTGACTCTGTTTGTAATTAACATTTTAGCTCAAGGCTATTGATGCATTTTACAGACTCTGCTCCAAAATGATGATGCATTTGTTTGAACCAGCCATAGGTGTGGAGAATTAGTCAGAAATCACAGAATTTCTGTCAGTCCTTCACAATAAAAGCCTCAACATACTGAGTGCTAACTTAAAAATATTCCTAGATCTTCTGAATTTGATCAAATTAGTTTCTAATATTGTTGTCCTCCAGTAAAATGTACAACAGCAAAAATATAAAAAAAATTAAAAAAAACTCTAGAAATTTTGGGAACTTACTGACAGGTTGTGTACTACGACGGAGTACTAGGGCCACGCTAAGAAAATAAAAAAATATGAGAAAATAGTCATAATATTATGAGAATAAACTCGTAATATGTTCCTGGGTCAACTCGCCCCTGCTGTGGACAGCCTCCACTGAGTCACTGTGTTTATGAAGTAGATCCACGATCACTTTTGGGTCAGTGTGTGTGAAATATGCCTCCATCCACATTATGTGACGACTAAATCCATCAATGCAGCCATTAACTGCAATGCCATACAGCTTCAGTTTATCATAAGAATCAATATGCCACAGTGAGTTGGGCCCCTGCTATTGCACTGATGACGTCAACATTCATCATTTTACCGCAGTTGTAAGATTGATTTTTCATGTCTGAGTTCTGATAATATGTATATAACTTTATTCTCATAATATTATTACTTTATTCTCGTATTGTTTCTACTTTATTCTGGTAATACTACGACTTTATTCTCGTATTATTTCAACTTTATTCTCGTAATATTATGACTTTATTGTCATAAAACTTTATTCTCAAAATTTCATGACTTTTTTCCCATAATGTAATTTATTTTTCTTAGTGTTGCCCTAATACTCTGTCGTAGTGTACAGCTCCAGATGTAAATTATAAAACATGTTAGATTATCTTTTTTTACTGAAAGCTTTTCTAAATATTAAAATCCCTACAAAACATTTTCCTACCTCTGTGCCAAAGATGGTTTGGTGTTTGATTCCCCATTAAATCTCAAACAGCCGTTTTATTTCCATCATTTTCACTTTATGTTTAAAACACTATGACCAGGAGCTGCAGTAGCTTGGTAGTCAGTGCTGTGGTTTTGTAATCCTGAGGTTGAGGGTTCAAGCCCAGGTTGCATTAATTCAGTTTATTTACAACATAAGTCATCTCAGGGCACTGAACAGAACCATTCATATATAAAAAGCCAATGAATAAAACCCAACATTTTTCAGTCAGGTCATCTGGACAGTTTCTTTTTTTTTTTTTTGTGCTGAAACGTTCCGCATTCGATCCGGAGGGCTTCATCAGTCAAGGAAACGCACAACAAAACTGATTCTTCCCCCAACAGCTTACTCCAAAGTGGAACAAAGCTGACTGAAAAATGTTGGATTATATACCTGGATTATTGAGCATGGACTTTGTTGTTCAATGAATAAAAGTTCTCTAAGGAAGAATCAGCAAGGGCAACCGGTGTAAAATAAATTGCCAAATCTTTCATGCGAGTTCGCTCGCTGTGTTGACCCCTGAAGAGGGAGCAGCCGAAAAAACTTACCTTTTTTAAAATACTAGGACTATTTTCATTTAAGCTTTCATCTCAACACTTTAACTTTAATAGTGAAACTTGGAAACAAAAACAAAAAATTCCCCTCTTGAATATTTTTTCTGAGTGACCCTGATAAGCTGTCATAGATGCACAAGACTTCAGTCAATTTTAAAATAAAACACTCAAGTAACAATGACAAAGTGTTCATGATAAACATTTAACAACTGTGGCTAATTATCAACATAATACAGAATAAAACTCCCTCACCCCACATTTCTTACTGCAATTAAAATCAAAACCAAAATATTTTGAGCACTTAAATTTGAAAAATAAAAACTACAGTTATAAAGACATGACATTGCAGCAGAGTGAGCACATGTGTAAAGGGAGTTTAACTAGCTGCTTGGCTCTTAGCACCATTTTGTTCATCGTTTGCCATCAGGTCACGATGGAAGTAAAACAACAAGCAGTCGTTTCAGAAAGGACAACTGGAAGAAATGATACACAAAAACAAACAAAAAAAATGTTGTGGGGGTTTCCTCCGATGCCTTGCTTGATAGCCGGTCACACGCAGTACTCGTTAAGGCGTTCACGCTCCGTCTCATGGCTGCACACCACGCTCAGGCAGGAGGAGCCCAGGAGCCCAGAGTTAAGAGCATACACCAGAATCCAGCGCCCGGAGTGTGAAATGTTTGGCAGCATTAAGGCAAAGACCGATCAGCTCACGAGAACCACCACCGATGAAATCATCCCGTGTGAAAAATAAAAACCTGTTGCAGCTTCAGCACCGTGTTGGCAGAAAGCTTCACGTGTAAATCACATGTCTGAAAGACGGGTGATTTGGCCTTTCAGTGCCTTTTAGTTCAATTTAAAACTGCTTACTAGATCCCATATGTTGTGGAAATTTAGATTAGTGTCCTATAATTTTAGTTGTTCCCAAACCCACAAGCTGTATTTCTTCATTTCAAAGTCCAGGAAATTCATGTAAAAAGAGACAAAACAACCAGTAAAATAAAGGAGCAAAGAAAAGAGCTGGACTGGCAGTATGATGGTGAGAAGGCAAAAAGCACCCGCAGTTAAACTTGCAATCTTACAGTGCTAACCCAGACGTGAGCATTTAGAGCAGACAGTAAGAAATGCACTAAAACAGACAGACATGCGCCATTTCATGCTGGGGAGGGGGGTAATAGCCAGAGCTGGGATGGTAGCAGGTGGGATGGTGGTGGTGGGGAGTGGAATTCTGTGCCAAGGATCACAAACCTGGCACGTAGAGGATGGCAGTGCTCTCATCCATGGCGAACATGTTGGAGCCTGTGCAAACGTAGATGCCCGCATCCTCAGGCTGGACGTTCTGAATTGTCAGGATGCCGTTGAAGTCTGTGGCCCGGTTGGGAAGTCTCCCGATACCCTTCCGGGTCCACACCAGGGTGTAGGCTGGTGACTGTGCAGGGGAGAGCCGATAAGGAACAGAAATAACAGAAGGGGGTAAAACAGTTTTAGCATGGATAAGAAAGACAAGGTCCTTCTTGATCATGTGATCAGCTGGTTTTGGTTGTCAGCAGCAAACTGGTTGATCCACTCTGAGAAGGTGCTATTTATAAGACTGAGCTGAATACAGCACCTCAGACTGAGGAAGTCTTTCGGATGAAAGATGAAACGTTTCTACATTTTTGTTGTTGTTTTGCTTTGTTTTGGTTTTGAATGTCCGGAGGACCAGATTTAACTTTTTTTAGATAAGAAAGACAGTTACAGCCTGTATGTAAATGCTAGTTAATTTAGGTACACTGGATTAAGACCCTGCTATGCTCTGTAAAATGTGGCTGGATCAAAGCAAATTTGGAAAGCTAGGCTTGAGGCAAGTGTGTCCCGTCCTGCTTCAAATTCTCAATAACTAAGACATGCCAGTGTGTGGGCCTGCAGTTATGGATACGCTGCCACTACGCTCTCCTATCCTCCATCAAGGACTTTGATATGTAGCTGGAACAGCAATAAAACATCACAACCATGCTACAAAATTTTGCGCATGCTCAAAATCATATTGGACCTATCATGTGCAACTGGGAGTCCACTTTGTTCCTAATATGTGCCTAAAAACCTCACCAAGACCTTGCAAAGAACATCCACATTTGTTGCTGATTTGTTTTTTGTTGCAAGGTTGTCATCCAGTGGAAAGAGGGCTCGACACAGGCAGAAAACACCAACCAACTGGACGTGGGTCCAAACAGGATCAAACCCTTCCATCAACAACAATCAATCAATCAACCTTTATTTATACAGGTAAATCCCATTGAGCCTCGAGGACTCATTTACAAGAGAGACCTGATTTCAACAAAGAAAGATGACAACAATGGACAACAGCAACAACAATAAGCAGTTATAAAAACTCATACTACAGTTTTTTTTTTTAACAAATAGGATGGCTAAAAGGAAAAAGGTAACAAAACAAAAAACAGCTAGATTCCAAGACAAATGTAGAAAACTAAAAACAGGAACATGTCTGCATTGGACCCTGCCAGGAGTCCAACAGATTCTTAAAGCCACTTAGAGAGGTCAAGGTCGAGAGCTTCAAATCTTTTTGTAAGATATTCCAGGAAACAGGAGCGGAGTAGGAGAAGGCCCTTTTGCCTAGTTCAGTCCTCACTGAGGGAACACTGCAGGTAATAATGTCCTGAGAGCGCACTCCGTAGCTGCACTCACGCAGAGACATGTAGGAGGAGATGTATGAAGGCAGCAGACCAAGAAGTGATTTAAAGATGAAAATGTACCAGTGAGAGAGTCTGCGTGAAGTTAATGATGTCCAGTTAACCAGTGAATACAGGGTGCAGTGGTGGGTACGATAATCACAGCCAGTTATGAATCTTAGTGCACCATGATAGACAGCATCCAACATCTGCAGGGTTCTTGTAGGAGCGTTCATGTAAATAATATCACCAAAATCAATTGAGGGAAGGAAAGTCACAGATACAAGGCGTTTTCTAGCATTCAGGGTTAGACAGGATTTGTTTCTGAAAAAGAAACCCAGTTTAACTTTCAGTTTCTTTACCAAGTTTTCCACATGGAGCTTAAAAGAAAGATGTGAGTCGACCAAGATACCCAAATATTTATAGGAATCAACAAACTCAATGGGGACACCATTTGAGGATAAAATCGGAGGAAGAACTGCTGGGACCAACTTCCTATTTGAAAAAAGCATCCCTTTGGTTTTTTCGGCATTTAGGACAAGTTTGAGGCGGAACAAATCTGTCTGGATGATGTTAAATGCAGATTTCAAAAGCTGGAAAGCCTTAGCAACTGTTTTAGCTCGACAATAAACAACTGTGTCGTCAGCATAGAAATGTATGGATGCATTAGGGATGTTTTTGCCTACATTATGTATGTAGATTGTAAAGAGGGTGGGTCCTAAGACTGAGCCTTGTGGTACACCATTGTTGAATGTTAAATAACTGGAGGAAGTACCATTATGTTGAACACATTGCCTCCGGTCTGAAAGATAGTTAGAGAACCAACCAATGGTGTGATCTGAGAAACCAATTTCTGAGAGTTTATGACACAAGATGTTATGATCCACAGTGTCAAAAGCTTTAGACAGGTCTAAGAAAAGTGCAGCACAATAATCCTTAGCATCCAGTGCTTCAACAACGTCATTAAGAACCTTCAGTGAAGCAGTGGTTGTGCTGTGTTGTTTCCTGAAACCAGATTGATGTGGAGGCAAGATGTTAAATGAGTCCAGGTAATTTTTGATTTGAGAGTTTATCAGTTTTTCTAGAACCTTGGCTAAAATGCAGAGTTTAGAGATTGGTCGATAGTTGTTCAGTGAGGTGGGGTCTCCTCCCTTCAGCAAAGGAAGAACAAAGGCTGTTTTCCAAGTGTCTGGGATGGAGTTTTGTCTCATGGAGAGATTGAAGATGTGGGTCACAGGGACTGTGACGATATGAGCAGCCAGCCTTAAGAAATAAGGTGGAAGTTCATCTGGACCTGCAGATTTTTTAGGATCAAGATCTTTTAACAGTTTATTGACCTCACTGACTGCGAATGGAGAAAAAGAGAAGGTGTGATTAACTGAGGATTGACTTGTAGGAGGGATTTGATTTGATTTGATTTGAACAAGAACTTACCTTGCTCTTTGCAGTACAGATGAAATTGACTGTGGAGCCGACCCTCATGATCTGAGATTTAGGCTCCTCCACTGTGACCTCAATGGGTTTAGTTGGCCCACCTGGAGAAATTAAGATAAATGTTCAGAAACAGATCATTACAGAAGGAAACTTATTTTTAAAGAGTGATTTAGTGGTAATCAAGAAAACCATCATTTCAATAAAAGGCTAAATGATTGGTTTGTAAAGATTTTGTAAAGCATCACAGTCTAGTCCACTGGAATGCAATGATTTACAAATATCATAAACCCATATTTTATTCACAAAACAAAAAGTCACTCAAGTGGGAAGACTTTAAGTACCAACAAAATGAAACAAAAATCAAATGTATGCATGTTTGCTTACCACCCTAACATACTATTCAAATTTCAAAGGGGAATCCAGAACAGCACCAACATATTGTACTTTTGGCACTTGTTATGCTGCACATGGACCATGAAATTTTAATTGCAATGACCTTACAAGCTTCACATATAACTGCATCATCAGCATACATCTGAAAAGCTGTATCAAAGCAGGGTTTCAACAAAAAGAACAGGGTCAAAGAACTGAGCCTTGTGGTACACCTGCATTAATTTTGGAGCCAGCATGGATCAGACTGGAGGAACAGAGAGTGACTTCATGTATTGAATGTCAATCTGAAGTGACAGAAACTTTTTCCTCTTAATGACATAACCAGCAGATTGTTAATGTTAACACTTTATACTGAAGGCTTCAAACAATGAGAGATCTACTGAAATGTTTCTGTTGACTTTCTAAAATATTTACCAGGGCATCTCAGAACAACAGTTTGCCACCATTAAACTCTGTCTGGACCTAAACAAACTATAAAAAACTGATAAAGCTTTGCTGTGCACAGTTTGCTACAGTGTTGTAAATGTAGAACTGTAGGGGAACTAACAGAGAACTGTTTGGTCTGAAAATGCCTGATGCCTGTGGGGGGGAGGAGACCCTGGCTGTCAATATGAGAGCAGCATTCACAGTCACCTGTGATGATAATCTCAGCATGGCTCTTGTTGGTGCTGCGCTGGTCCATGCAGGTGCAGACGTAGACACCGGCATCACTCGGCTGGATGCTGGTGAAGTACAGTTCTGCTCCTGCACACACAGACGAGGACGGCGCTATTTGAGCATTCAAATCCCTACGAAACAATTTACGGAGCATATTTCAAGCAGGTCTTTCAGCACCTTGCTTGAGTCTTTCAGCACTATTAGAGATGGGTTGTCCATCCAGTCTGGACCAGTAGTAAAAGTGTGGAGGAGACCCAGAAACCTGACAGCGCAGAGTAACAGAGCTGCCCTGGGTCGCTTTGAAGCTCTCTGGATAGACCTTTACCACCAGGGAGGCTGCAGCTGCAAAATGCAAAGATCATAAACAAAGAAACTATGAACATTTCACAAAAACTTTTAGATCAATTCTAAATGGAGTCACAATTTATCCTCCTGATTGTTTTTCTCAATTCATCAGTAATTTAGCTGTGTGTTCAGTGCAACGTTACCATCTTTTGGTTGACATTTTTCTCTCCGCTGAGGGTTGCCAACATATCCAAGAGCACAACTAATGATAAAAATACACACAAAGAAGTTTTTATCTTTGAAAAACTTTTACTGTAGTCCATGTTGTTGCTGATCTTTCGTGCAATTCTTTCCTACATGTGCCACCACGACTTGTCAGGAGACAGAGCTGCCTTACCGTTCACAGTACTGGCCAGTGTAGCCAGGCTGGCAGGCCGTACACTGATAGTCTCCATTACCAAGGCTCTCGCAGGTGGGAGAGAACCTGTAAACAAGATAAAGGTTTAAAGAAAATTAAAGGACAAAAAGCTAAAGTCTATCTCAAATATTAGGTTTAATACCATGAATTTTTGGATTAATTGAAGGACAAAGTTTATAAATATGCATTCACTTAAATGGACGTACAGTAAAAAGTTAAAGACAGCGTAAAATTATTTCTTCAAATAAAGGGACATGTAGATATAAATTTAAATGGGAGGAAAACGAGTCCTGAATTCGTAACAAAAACTAAAAGCTCAAGAGCTTTTCTGTAACAGAGGCGCAGCACATAGATCAGAGCTGTCTTGTACTATAACTGGAGGTGGAATGTGAGCTCTTGGTATGTGTGCCAACACTTACTGGTTGTCTGGGTCAGTGTGAGGACAGGCACATGGCTGGCAGTCCACTGGAGTTCCAGCAGTTGGGTCGCCAAAGAAGCCAGAGGCGCACTGCTCACAGAACTCACCATGCGTGTTGTGCAGGCAGCTCTGGAAATAGACACACACATGCCTTTAACACATGTATCCATCAGAGCACTGTATTCTAGAGAGAAGTCACGTGCTGGTCCTGCGCTCCTTACCGTGCAGATGCCAGTCTCAGGGTGGCAAGTGTCCGAGTGGCCGTTGCATTCACAGAGCTCACAGTGACCCAGGTACAAACCTCCTCCTGTACGAGTGTATCCAGGTGCACAGTCCTAAAAATAACATCTACTGATTTAGACACTAGTACATCTATTTCATACAGAAAATAATGTGCACATTGACCTAATGTGTTTTGCATCCTTTTACACCTGCAGCCAGCACTTAACTGGGCGGTGACTGTTGGAGATAAGCTGGCAACGCAAAACTGAGAGAAAATGAGTACATTTTCAGTTGTATATATACTGTGGTATATATATATATATATATATATATATATATATATATATATATAATAAACTACTACTTACTATACTACTTACTACTTGCACTACTATTCCTACTTGGCGTTTTTTCACTTATCGCTGGTCTTTGGGGTACGGATCCCCCGTGATAAACGAGAGACTACTGTATTAATATTTTTCATCTGACAGGATGTTTTTTCTCATAAGGCTCTTTCAGCCTCTGTGACTCATGCAAGGACGTTGTGAGCCCTGCAAAGACTTCTCATGAATGTTGTTTGCCAACTAGTTGCAGCTCAGTCAGACACCACCATTACTGGACACTGACAAATGAAAGGTGTTCATAAACGTTCTAAGCAAGTAGAAGCCTTAGTCCACACAACTTCAATTTTTAAAAACTATTTACAAACATAGAGAACTAAATAGTCATTCCTCTCTATATCATGCTTTACTTCTTGCAACTTCACTCTATCATGGATTTTTAAACCTGTTTTTTTAATATTGTGTGTACTGTACATTCATCTCATCGTCATCGCCAAAGTGTTTAAGAGCATATGAAGTGTTTATGAGAGTGGGAAAGGTTTGTAAAGCCTTAATATATATATAAATAATAAAATAAATATAACGCCGCTACTTCTCAGATTTTCACCTACCACAGGAGTCTCTGGAACGTAACCCCTGCGATAGTTGAGGGATCACTGTATGAAAAAAATGTAATTACCTGGCAGGAGAGTCCGTGGTACCCGGGTGGGCATCGGCACTGTTCCACCTCGAGTGCCTGTGCCAAGCCGCTGTAGTTGGGCACGGCAATGTCCATGCTGATGTCATGGACGCTGGAGGAGCGCATCTCAGTGGAGTAGGAAGCTCGAATCAGGATATCATCGAGATCAGCCAGAACCATCATCAGGTGCTCTCGAGTGGCCGGCATGCCGTCAGGCCGCTGCCAGTGTTCCTGTAAAACACAAAAACAACATGTGTTCTCAAATTCATAAAGGAACCAGGGTAAAACGCTCACTGGACACCTTGATTCAATCCCTGCTGTTGAGTCATACTCAGGGTGATTTAAAAAGTGATACAGGAGCTGTTCTGCTCACCTCTCTGAAGATGATCTCAAATTGTTTGCTCTCTCTGCTGCCTTGCTGCCTCCTCTGCCAAGTCTGACGGGCTACCAGGGTGATGTCGTTGCCCTACAGGAGCAACAAAGGAGGGGATGAGGAAGTCCAGCAAATCCACTCAGTCGGGACAGAAAGCATCACATCAGCTCGAGGTGAACTCACAATAATTTGGACGTCAGCATCTTCGAGTTGTGTTCCTCTTTGACTAGCCACGTAGGAAATGGTGTATTTAAGTTTCCCGCCATACGAACCAACCTGCAGGATGGAAAAGCATGTAGCTACAAATCAATGAAAGAGGTGATGTCGTGGAAGCTAGCATCATAAATACTGTCCAAGACTCAAACAAATTCACTTTCAAACCACATTTTGAGAAATAAATGTTTTTAATGATCATGCAAATAATAACACAAACATAAAAAGTTGTAATAATTTTAGCTATGAAGCAGAATTCCTGTTTAGAGCAAATGCAAAATTTTGCTATTTTTGTTCTTTACGTGATTTTTGTTGTTGTACTTCTTTAACAATACCCTTGAAAAGTTTTAATCCCAAATTTATATTTATAGAAAATATTATGTAAATAACCATATGAGACCCTAATGATTAGTTTTAGACCTATTGTCCTTGTTGAGGGTGATTAGATTTCAAGTTTTATTTTAAATATATGTATTTATTTATTTATTTTACTCATAAGTGATCAAAAAACATTTTTTTTTACTAATCTCAAACAGAGTAAATTCAAGTAAAACCTTGAGGCTCAAGAGAATAAAAGTTTCTGTCTATGGGGGTCGCCCAACATTTTAGGGGTGACCATTGCCCCCAGTTGGCCCCCTTTTGTGCTGTCCCTGAAGGATAATAAAGATTAAGAACAAGGTCTAAAACCTATCTGCAGCAATTGAACTGCTCCTAAAAATCCTGTCTTTAAAGTATAGAAACAAATCCATCACAAACTGACAACCCATGACTTCAGCTGATCATTTGCTTAAAGTCAGGTTTTCAGCAAATAGATCTTAAAACTATTGCTGGTGTCAAACTGTATTATCTTTAACATTTTTCATAGTTCAACAAATAAAGCACCTAAAAGTGTAATTTAAAATATTTCACAAGTTCATTCTTTGAGTTCAGGAGCTTTTTTGTGCCTGAATGATTCAAAGATCAGATTTCACAGGGTTTAATAAAATAAATCATTCTACTAAAAATGACCAAAAACTGTACTGTAGGTGAAAAAGCAATAGAAAAGTGAAATTCTCAAGACATACTGGTTATGACTAGTTTATAATAAAACAGGAACATCTGGCTGCTTGTGAGCAAATATGAAATTATGGCAATTTTTATTTATTTCAAAGTGGGGTTCTGTGGAAATATGATTAATTAATGTTAGCTGCAGGTAGCTCTTTAAATGGCCTCAGACAGGAAAACTACAGTTTCACTCTGACAAGACGGATCAACTAGCTCAAACTGACATTTTATCATTTAAAACAGCTCTAATCTCCAGATTTCATAACAGTTCATGCAAATGATTTTACAATCCTTCACACTGACATCGGTTTCTCAAGGCGTGACTTTACACAGAAATTTGTAGTTATATGCAGCAGCAGCAGCAGCAGCAAGCTGTAGCACATCCAATAGGGATATTGTAACATTTCTGCTGAAATAACTGTGTGAATAACCGATGGAGATGTAAAGATTTATTAAAAAACATTTGCTAAAGCTGCTACATTTCAAAGAAGTTTGACACTAGAATTTTATTACATTTTGTTATTAATAGTGTCCAGATTAGCTGCTAATATAATCATAAGTTCAATAATTATTACACCCTTCAATAGTGAAAATTATTCATCTGTATTAATAACCTTTCCTAAAAGGGCACAAATGGACTGCATGGAAACTGAAGGTCCCTGTTAACCTTTTATCAACTTCACACTAGAATGAAAAACTCCCAACACAACAGTCCCTCCCCAGCGTCCGGGGGCTGTTTAGGGAGGAGGAAAAGGGGAGACTCCAAACAACATAAAACTGGTCTCAAATTAAAACAAACATAGAGTTTAAAATGAACCAGAGGAAGAAATCAGCAATATTATAGTCCAGATTCATCACAGTGACCTTTCTTCCACCTAGATGTGCCCACACACCAAAGTGGAGGTGGGCACATTGTTTACAACATGCACGGAAGGATGGACGGTATTTCCAATTACCCCTTTGCTTTGCAATGGGAAGCAATGCAATGTGATAAGATGGCTTGTGATTTTTCTTTTTATTCAGATGTGAAATGAACAACAAAAAAATCAAATATCACTGGAGGACAGATGGTTCGGGAGAAGACAGGTGATGTAGAAACAGATGTCTGTCCTCCAAGCCCATCAGATGTTTGCGTGTCTCCACCTAAGAGTCTTTACATTTACCTGATCCCCCAAGAACTGCTTGGGGAGCTGCCAGTAGAGCACATCTTCCCGCTGCGAGCTGAAACCTTTGTAGACCAGAGCGTACTGAGAGGCAAAAGGTGGAAGGAGAGGCATCAGAGAATGAGCCACAGAGGCAGCAGGGATAAACTGTAAGCATGCAGATGGGCAAAGCAGACTGGAAAGTACCACATGGAGGAAACCTGACAGGTAAGATAGAGCCAGACTCTTTGACATGTTCTCAGATACAAACTCTCCCTCTGACATCTCACTGAGCTTGAACCAAAAGTAAAACAAGCACTCCTACAAGAGTTACAACCAGCTTTAAACCAAACAGAAGTCAAACAGGAGTCCACTGCCTGGACATAAAGGGATATTTATGCGTTCTGTGGAAACATCTGAAATAATTAAGATCCTACCTGTTGTAGATAGCTTCATGAATAACCTCAGTTTGGAGAAAATGGAGTTTAAGTCAGACAGGACCAACAAGCTAAGGGCAGTTATGCCTAAAGCAGATTATTCTGTCATCTTAAAAACAGCTCCAACTCAAGAATGTTGCAGTTATTATGCAAACACCACTTTATTAATTTTACCCATACCCTGTCATCACTTTCACATTGCTTGGTGATTCTATCAAACATATAATATTTTAGCTGAAAGTGCTCCCAGGATGCACCAAAGTACAACAGCTAACTAATATTATGACTATTTGCACTTGCATAAAGCAACCAAAAATATTTTTCCAATGAACCACAACAGTATTTTCTAGAATCAAGCTGTTTGAAGACACCATCAATACATTTAGATCTTGTTTGGCTTAGGATGAGACGTTAGCTCATCAATCTGGCTGAACTTAAAATTTAATTTCTTCTTCAGTCCTTTCAAAAAGCTATTTACAACAAGTAAGTCGTTAATTGTAGATGCTAAATGTAAAGTGGCTGTAGCTCAGGAAGAGCGGTTGGTTCCTAGTTGGAAAGTTGGTGGTTTGATTCCGCCTGCCACCACTGCCCGATTAGCATGGTAAGTACTGCTAATTCCTAATGAACTGATACAGTACCTTTATAAGACAGCACCATCAGCTTACACACAGTCTGTCTATCCTCCTAACACAGATGTTTTTATTGTAATATGGATGTTGTTCGATTAAGAAAAGAACAACAAACTGAACAAACCGGGTCATGCCAGGTAGCGGTTTAATATTAGATAATGTAGCATTCTTTTACACTGGCATGTCATTGTTGAGAAATACTTCTTTTATAAGACAAAACATTATTATTATTATTATTATTTTTAAAACGGGTACAAGTTTGGCTAGCCTGGAAAAGTCTTTTGCGTCTTTCTCCGTATTCTATGACTAAAATCACGACGGACGAGGTTCCAACTACTGAAAACTAATAGACAGAACATCACTTCAAAGTTAACTGGACTATCGTTTTAATAGGGACTTGGAAAAATGTTTAGCATTCTGTGAATAATAAGATATATCTGAGTGTTGTGAGTTTTTAAAAACTTCAAATAAAACCCTGTCCTTTTTTGCCTCAAGGCTAAATAAAAATCTTGAGTTTGAAGTTATTTTTATGGAAAGAAAGTGCGTGGCTAAACTGCAAAATATTAAACTACAAGTCTTTCAAAGTAAGTATGTGTCTCTGTGATGGACTTGGACCTGTCCAGGGTGTCCTCCACCTCTCACACAGTGATGACTGGACATGCAACCCGAAAAAGGAAGAAGTGGGTAAAGATAATGGATGGATGGATATATATATATGCACACATATACATAATATACACACATACACACACACCATCATCATCATCTTTTTCTTTCAGCTTTTCCCTCTTCAGGGGTCACCACAGCGAGTCATCCTCCTCCATCTCACTCTGTCCTCTACATCCTCTGTCCTCACTGCAACTACCTCCATGTCCTCTCTAACTGCACTCACATATCTCCTCTTTGTCTTTTTCCTGGCAGCTGCATTTCTAACATCCTTCTACCAGTATACCCACTGTTCCTCCTCTGGACATGTCCAAACTACTGTCCCTCCTCTGGACAAGTCCAAACCACTGTCCCTCCTCTGGACATGTCCAAACCACTTTCCCTCCTCTGGACATGTTCAAACCACTTTCCCTCCTCTGGACATGTCCAAACCATCTCAGTCTGGTCTCTAACTTTATCTTCTAGTTGTTCCTAATCTTATCCATTCGTGTCACTCTTAAGGAGAACCTCAACATCTTCATTTAGGCCACTTCCAGTTCTGTCTCCTGTCTTTTTGGCCATGTCTCTGTCTCCAGACCATACAACATAGCTGGTCTCTCCACTGTCTTGTAAACTTTTCCTTTGACCTTTGCTGACACCTTTTTGTCACAGATCACTCCTGAAACTTTTCTCCATCCACTCCATCCTGCCTGGACTCTCTTCTTCACCTCTTTATTATACTCCACATTTTCCTGGACAGTGGACCCCAAGTACTTGAAGTCCTGCACCTTTGTGACCTCTGCTCCTTGTAGCCTCACTGTTCCACCTCCTCCCTCTCATTCACACACATGCACTCTGTCTTACTACGACTGACTTTCATTCCACTTCTTTCAAGTGCATACCTCCACCTCTCCAAGTTCTCTTCCACCTGTTCCCTGTTCTCACCATAGATCACAGTGTCATCTGCAAACATCATAGTCCATGGGGATTCCTGCTTGACCTCAACTGTTAGTCAGTCCATCACCAGAGCAAACAAGAAGGAGCTCAGAGCTGATCCTTGATGCACTCCCACCTCCACCTTGAAGCTGTCACCCCTACAGAACATCTCACCACTGTCCCGCTGTCCTCATACATGTCCCGTACAGTCTAACATGCTTCTTGACACTCCAGATTTCCTCATGCAATACCATACCTCCTCCCTCAGCACTCTGTCATATGCTTTTTCTAAATCAACAAAAACATAATGGAGTTCTTTCTGACCCTCTCTGTACTTCTTTATCAGAATCCTCAAAGTATAGATGGAATCTGTGGTGCTCTTTCTTGGCATGAAACCAAACTGCTGCTGACAAATAGTCACCTCCCATCAAAGTGTTGCTTCCACAACTCTCTCCCAGATCTTCATTGTGTGACTCATCAACTTGATTTCTCTGTAGTTGCTACAACTCTGTACATCACCCTTGTTCTTAAAAATGGGCACCAGAACACTTCTTCTCCATTCCTCAGGAATTTTCTCACCCTCAAATATGCCATTGAATATCTGAGTCAAAAACCTCACTGCCAACTCTCCAAGACATTTCCAAACCTCCACTGATCTTCAGGTTCTACTGTTTTTCTCTTCTTCATTCTTTTCTGAGATTTCTGGACTTCATCCTCAATAATCTTTTCCACTTCCTGGTCCAAGGTTTCTATAGCCTCTACTCTTTTTTCCTGTTCATGCTCTTCATTCATTAGCTCTCACACATAAACACACATACTATATATACATACATAATACAGCATCTTGGATTTTGACGTGGCAACCCACTTTTCTAAAATAAACTTTCTTACACCTTGATGTAGCCACACACCAAAATCGATGTTGGTACCTCACTTATTTTTCAAGTTACCATGCTCACAACATGCACGGACGGACCGACGTAGGGCGGTTATTTCACTCCACAATGGGAGACAAACAGGAGTCAAAAACCCTTTCAAGTTACAAATAGCCGCTTTCAAAATATAAATGTGCCAAGAGCTGCCATGCTACAGTCTACCTTGCTGCTGTCTCCAGAAGCACTAGCAGTCTTGCTCATAGTGTTCTTGCTCTGCAGATCCATAACAGAAACAGACATCCCACCCCCAAAGAGAAAAAAAACACAGTTACCAATATAGTCCACGCCACAGCCCATCAAATTACAACAGAATGTACCTTCAGATGAGGGGCGTGGCCTGGGGAGTAAGGTTGAGGCCGGGTTGGTTTAACTGAAGAAGAAATATCAGACGGAGGAGAGGGGGGGCTCAGGTGATGAAAGGACCATTGAGAAGCAGAAGAAGATGAGAACCGAGAGGAGGTAAGTGAAGAAGATTTAGAAGAAGAGCCATTGGAGAAATTATGCATGAGCGCCCAGATCTCAGCATCCAGCTTTTTGACATCAGCCTGCGGAAGTAGGGCAACCAGAAATACAGAGGACAGGTCATGTTGACTGTAAAAAAACAACGGTGGGGGTCTGAGAATTTATCGGTAGTTCTTCAAGTGTACATCACTATAAAAGGAGGACATGCCGCGTCATTCAGTTCAGTGACCAACAGTCCTGCGGATGTTAAGGTTCTTCTAGGTGTCACATTAATTACCAAAACTGCTGCTTCATAACCTAAAAACGTGCAGTCATAACTAACAGTATGCTCCTATTATATTGCTCTGCCTCTGCGTAATGAAATGATCAGACTCTGTGGTGTAAAGACAGGTGTAAAAGTAGGACTAAAAGAATAACCCAGAATTGTTATTTTATTTATTTTTTTGTGTGTGTGCATTTTTTAAACAAACAAAAAATGCTCTTGCTAATGGGGAGGCTCTAAAGTAGTAAGTTCATCATGTACAGAACAGATTTGTGAAACGGTATCTTTATTATGCAATATCACGTCACATAGCACGCTTTTTTCATTCAGGTTTCTCTGAAGACAGTTTCCTAAAGGCCAGCAGTGTTTCAGCAAGTGACTGCTAGTGTGAGAAATTTACTTTTGATATTAGGGATATCGAATAAATGCACAATTGACTACAATGGAGATTTTAAAGCACATATTAAATAAAATAACTGCTTGCCATGACTACACCTCTCCACTCTGCACCCACGTCTAGATGGGGGCAGTAATTACCTGTGACTGACATCTTCACTGTGTACTTCAGCGTACCCATGCCACATGTCTGTACCATGCCAGTGCGGTATGAATACAAGTACCATTACTCCCCTTATTGTAGCTTTCTCTGCAAACTCTCTGAGCATTACCATACATTAACAGAAACCATGCACCAGTTATTTTTAGTAGAGGTGTTAAACCTTCTCTACAGCGCAGCTCATACCAAATACCTGTCTGGCTCTTTTGGATCTTTGAGTAACTTTACTTTCAGCAGCCATTACTGAAGCATCCTTCCTAGCAAGTACCGGTACAAATCCCTCAACTGATGCAGATGAAGAAGGCACTTTGATCATTTTCCTTTTCACTGATCTCGTGGTATTTGCGTATGGTGGCAGTGTTAATGAGGCAAAGTTAAACTTTATGAAGCTCTTAAATGGAGCATTAATGATAAATCCATTTACATGGCACAAGTGTACATGGAAAGTTCTTGTGTTGTGAATGCCATGCCAAATCAGTGAACAGTTTCAGGGAAACACTCACCATTCACCTTTAATAACAAACTAATGTTAAATTCCCATGCTTGCAACAACAGTTTTCAAAGTCTAGATTTATCACTCACAAACCATACAAGCCATGTATCGTAAAATGCAATTACAAATCAGAAAAAGGTTGGATACTGTGTAAAATATAGATAAAAACAAAATAGAATGATTTTCATATGTCATAACCCTGTATGATGTTCACAGCAGAACAGTAAAGATACAGTATCAAAGATTGAAACTAAGTTGTTGTACGATTTTTTTCTGAACAAGCTCATTTTAAATTTGATGGCAACAATACAGCTCAGTCAATTTTGGACAAGGTGTGAAATTTCCCCTTTTTTAACAACAGTCTGTTCTGGTCAGGTGTTTGCTGGAATTTTTTCTGAATAGGAGCATATGTTGTCATAAGACTTGTTTATAATTTTCTGCATAGTTGGTGACTGTCCAGATGTGTGAGCTGCACATGCCATAGGCCATAATGCAGCCCCATTCCATCAGAGAGGCAGGCTTTTCAACCATGTGCTGATAACACGTCAGATGGTCCTGTGAGAATCTGGACCGGGTCCGTCCTTGAAACCAGTCTGACTCCCCACCCCGGCGTCTGGTTCTTTTATTCCCAGATGGAGAGGAAACTCGCTCTAACTCAAATAAATCAAGAGATATAATTTCAGTTTACCAATTTAATGTTCATCAGCAGGAGGAAGTTACAGGTTCAGTTCTGAGGTGTCCGTCCAACTCGTCTTAACCCGTGGAAGCGGGGCGCCCCGTGTCACAGAACACCCCAGCTTATATTGGCCCTAGGCTCCGCCTTCTTCTGGGAGCACAGTCTATCACAGTGTTTCAGTGGGGTGACTATGTATGACCTCATTGGTCTTATCTGTTTCTGATGGTGAAAAATGGGTGAAAAGTGCAAATCTATCTACGTGATGGAAGCCAGCAAAATAAAAAATGACTCCTTATCGGGTGTTGACCCTGGGAAGCTCACTCAGAGCAGCTGGGCCCGTCTCATCTGTACAGAACCGGGCCAGAAACTAGTTTGACTTTGTGCAAACAAGACTGGGGGTCTCAGCATGATAAAGTAGGATAACTCTAACAGTCCCTCTCCTCTTTATTCCAGTAGGTGTAGCTTTCATGGTTTGAAAAAATCTTTTAAAATTTTGATTTGTCAGACAACAGAACAGTTCTCCACTTTGCCTCAGTCCATTTTAGATGAGCTTTGGTCCTGAGAAGACAGCGGGGCTTCTGAATGGTGTCCACATACGGATATTTAAAGCCTTTGTAATATTCATTGAGGGACAATATTCTGAAGTTGTTCTATTTTTAGTTAAAAGTTTTCACAGACTGGTGAACCTCTGCTCATCTTTACCTCTGACAGAGTCCTCCTCTCTAAAATGCTCTTCTTATACCCAGTCCTCTCACTAGTTGCAAAATATTCATCTAGACGTTTCTTATTCATACCACTGACTACTAAAACCTTATCCTGTCTTTTGTTAATGCATTGCTTCTTTCAAATGCAAAACTATCTTATTTAAAAGGGTACAGTTTCTTATTTATAACATTTGATATGCTTACTATGTTCTTTTGTGAATAACGTATGGATTTATGAGATTTATAAATCACTGCATTCTGTTTTCACCCATATATTTACACAACAACTTGTTCTTTTGGAACTGAGGTTGTACATTTTAAACGTAATAAGTTTATCTTAAGAAATTCCATATTATGTTATGTGAAACATGCCCGACAAAGCTTTTCACATGAAAACACTACATGTTACCAACACAACAAGCACTCACTGATTTGACCATACCTGAGGAGCTCGTTTCGTACGAGCAAAGGAAGAATCTTTCTATGAAGAACAGCAAGAAGGGCAAACAAAGAAATGAGAGCATCGTCATCTGTTCTACTGCACATAGAATGAAAAGGTGTTTGTGGAATTTCCAGAGGTTTGAAGTAAGAAAAAGTGGCAACACAAAGCAGTGGCGTACGAGTGGTCTACAAGTTTCTGATGTGCTGTTTGGCCCACAGCCCTGCTTTGGCAACTCCCACTGAACCCACAGTGGTAGTTTCCTTTTGAATACTGACCTTGTCTCCTCGGTAAGACTCTGGGAGCTGCCAGTAGTGGGGGCCTTGTCCCAACTGGTTGAAGTTGCTGTAGGACAACTGAGTGCCTTCAGTGGAAACTTCCACAGTGAAACCAGTAGTAATGCGACTGCTTCGCTGGCGGTTCACTAGAGCGAAACCCTGAAAGTTTCCTGGAGTAAAGACTGAGGAGACCTGCAGGGGAAAAACATAATGAAGTTTAGATTGTTTGAAAAACTAATACGCATGGTGTTTGTGCTAATTTGAGGGATTGTGTTAGAGCATTGTGTTCAAACACCTCTATGTTGGTCTCATGGGACCAAAGGACAAGAAGTCTGGTGGTTCGTCCAGATGCAGCGCTGCTCAACTAAAGCTGGATTCAAGCTCAGCAAGAAGTGACAAAATCTGCTCTGAAGTCTAAAATGGTCTTTAAAGTCTATTGCCTTTTCAGACTGCTTTAAACCCCTTTGAGTTAGAATGAGACATTTTAGAATTTTCTAGATTAATCCAAACATACCTTTGTCTAAGGAAAAACTAATTTTATAAATAACTAAACTGTGCAGCTGCCTCATCTTAAAGAAGAAGAAGAAGAAAACTACATAGTTGAGTGTTTTAACGTGTTAATGCTGACTCATGAACTATGGCCCTGTTCTGGTGTCAGTGGAATAAAGGAGCTTACCGTGTCTCTATAGAACGTAGAGCTGGAGCACTGCTGAGTGACGCCCATACAGAAACAGGTCAAACAGCCATCTTTATTTTCCTGGCTAAGATGGAAGCTTCCAGACTTACAAGTGGAGCAAGATGGACCTTCAACATTCATCTGTAAGAGGCAGTCAGTTCAGGCTGAGAAATCCACGAGATGGGATTAAAGTTACTCACTCATCCGTTTGATCACCTTGCATTGACAAGCACCACTGTAACAGTGTTCACTTCCTCTTTGGTCGCACTTGTAGCAGTTACCTGTAACGAGGCACCTGGTTACATCAGAGGTCACTGTAAGCAGCTGCTTTGGTAAATGTAGAGTCATTCTGATGAACTCTGTGCAACCTCTGCTGCAATGCAGAAAAATAAAGAATCAGTCTTTTTCCAGGATCAAACTGCAGGATTTACCATTGACTTCATTGTCGAGTGCACATCTCTCTCCAAGCAGAGGGTTACCAGTGTATCCTGGAGCACATCTAAAAGAAAAACAGACAGTGTTATACAAAATATCTCCAGTAAAAATGGATGCAGGTCTTAAAAAAAAACCAGCAACATCACAGGAAGCTAGAATGTCTGCAGGAAATGATAAATCAGATAAATCATGCCCTTCAGAGAGTTCTGTTGACCTGAGCCAAAGAACCCAAACAGCTGAGCTGTTCAGATAAAGATCAGAAAAGTGCTGTTGTCTACAAACTGTCTTCTGTTTGCAGAATCTAAAAATCACCCCAACCTTTGTAATGCGTTCTAACTGCGCTTCAAGAGAAAACACAAGCGCTGAACATGAACTCCCCTGCCTGCAGTGGAGATGGATGAAGCTCTGCTGCTGCTAAAAACATTCAACATGTCTCCGATGTTGACTCCATCTCTTGTGTGCGTGTTGCACAACTGAAACAGGAAAAACTTTTACAGGATCAAAACGATGAGAAGTTACAGAAAGATGACCACATATCACCAGGCTCTTAAAACAACCAAAGTGAGAGCAGAACGCATGAGAGGGCAGAGCAGCCGACATGTCGAGCTGCAGAAGGAAACACTAAAGAGGCAGGAAAACAATAAAACTAACCAACCTGGATGTTGTGGCACAGCAAAGCAACGCACCAGCAACCCAAGCAAAAAATTAAAAGGCTAACACTTTACAATAAGGTTCACAAAAACTACTAGGTAACGCCTCAGGAACGAATCAGGAGCTAATGGGTAGTTAACCAGTACTTACTGGAGAACACATGTCCAAGCCTTATTAGGGGACTACTGGTTTGTTGCCACAGAAACAGAGGAGAAATTCACCATGTAGGTTCTGAATAAACCTTGCACCAGTGAGGTCACAGCTCAGACGTAGTTAAGATGACAGCAGGACAAGATTATGAAATCCGTTCTTACCACTGATTAGTGGTAAGAATCCACTAAAACCAGTAATCAGTAGGAAACAGGTTTTTGACAATTAAGAGCTGTGACCTCTCTGGTGCAAGGTTTATTCAGAACCCACATGGAGAATTTCTCCTCCGTTTCTGTGGTAACAAACCAGTTGTCCCCTAATAAGGCTTGCCTGCGTGTTCCCCATGAAGTACTGGTTAACTACCCATTAGCGATTTGTTCCTGATTTGTTCCTGAGGCATTCCCTAGCAGTTAATCAAATATTGTGTACTTTATTATAAAGTGTTACCATGAAAAGATATGCAGCTACATCCCCGGATCTGTTAGCCTAAAGAACATCTGTCTTACCTCTTCCGGACTCTGGCAGGTCCACACTCCAACAGCCAACACAGACGACTTCACTGCTCTGAACTCACTTTGGGAAACATTTATAAACCAACTCCTGGGGCATTTGGTAGTTTCTAAAACGTGGCTATCTCACCACATCAAACCAGTGTTTAATGGATTGAATAAGACATCTCATACAACACATTAGAAGTGATCTGATCAAATGATAATAAATGTGTCATATGTAAATATGTCCAAACATATTAAAAATAAAGCACTGACATAAGCAAATTAAATATTTGTATGGGGATTTATCTGTCATTAACGTTTCTATGAAGGTGAACTTGATAGAAACTAACTGCTGGTTGATGAAAATAAAGCTCAAAACTTATAAACTGTTGGTCAGACTGGGATGTAAAAACTCTTCAGTCACTGTTTTGAGACTTCATGTTCCCCAGAGGATGAACCCTTTTAAGTTGGGCCACAACGTGTTTTATTGTAAATCATTACTATTTGTGTCTGATGATTAAAGTAGCACTGAAAAAAGAAACTGTGCTCGAGAACGTAGATTCACTCAAAATAATAAAGAAAAAGAGGTCACCTATTTGTGCCTCTGTGCTTGTAAACACTTTCAGAGTGTGGGGTTCAGGTTCGTCTGTAGAAAAGAACGTCAAATCTCTAGTTTGTAAAGATGTTTGGCTTCAACTTTAGATGTGACAAACTTTAATGATAAATCAGCACTGACTGAATTCTAGAGCTGGGAAACCAAAACGCGTTCTGCACTGTTTCTTTGTGCTTTGCTCATATCCTTCAACCAATAAGTAAAAAAAAAGCCTATAATATTCTATTGATACCTAGTGATGTCTAGTGAAAAGAAAATAACTCTAGAAACAGGTTGAATGTGAAGGCTTTGGGATTATAAACTTAGATTTACCAAAACATGCTGCAGATGTTTGATCAAGGCTTCAGGAAATTGTGTGAAATAGTAAAAAACTGGCAAATTACCATCAAACTTCTTGGACACAATGGTATTTGTTTTACTATAATTGACATTTTTGCCCCACTAAATTTAGTTTTTTGATTATTTTAGACTTTAATGATAAGACCATTCTTATCACACAACAAGCTCAAAGTAAGGTTACGATGATTCAAACTCAAAGAAGAGTGCAAAATTAAAGAATTTATCAAGTCCATGAGAGATGTTTTTAGCAGAGATGCGTGAAGCTAAATGCTGACCATAAATCTTGTAAGGAAGTAATTGTGAGGGTTGAGCCATATTTACAGATGATAATGTGAGAATGGTGCTAGATGAAATGTCCAAGGATTTACTTAAAAATGATGTGAATATTTTCACAGAACATCCTGGCAGTTTGTCCAATGCATTATTAACATTTATAAAGGTCAATCTTTAATAATGAAGGATTTTTGGGGGATCAAGAATGGCAGGAGGCTTCATCCTTGAGGGAACATGAATAACTTAGAAAAAAAAAACTATCCAAAATTAATAAAATATTTGACTTTGAACCAAAGCAGTTAACCAATAAACATTACCCATCAAACCATTTGTTTAAATCTAAGGGTGTCCCAATACTAGTTTTATTCAGACAGAGTACAAGTACAAGTACTTCAGTATGGGTATTTACTGATACTGAGGAGTAATACCAAGTAGTTACTGAGTTAGTACTTAAGCATTACACAGTGGCTTTAGAGACACATTTATTTTAAGAACAGCAAAAAGTTTGCTGTCTGAACATGTGTTTATCACATCTTTTTAATTTTATGCTCGGTTACCTGCAAAGTGGAAGAGGAAATGACATGACCAAGCATGAATGTGGTATCAGTTTGAAGTACTGGGATGTTTCTAGAAGTACAAGTACGAGTACTTGAGGCTGGTATCAGGACACCACTAAATAAAACAGTAGCAAACTTATAGTAATAAAACAAAGTTTACACAAATTGATATTTGAGGTTGTAATTACCAAACAGAAGAACTGACTACAGGAGCAAGATGTTACACAATAAACTCTTATTAAACCATAAAACAACAGGAAAGCTGCATCAAAACCTTCAACCTTCAATAATGCAGTGAAAACTGATGCTTCCAGCACATTCAGCTAAAGATTTTAGATTTGCATTTAGCTGAAATTGATTGTGGAGGAGGGAAACTTGAGGGTGGAAGGTGTTCACAAAACACTCGTACTAAAATGTAACAACGTGAAACATAGTAAAACCAAAAACTGGGACTCAAATTTGAGGTAGGTAAAATTAAAATGATTTTGAATATGCGTGAGGTCCAAAGTTATTTCTTCATTAGATCATTTGGAGAAACAGTTTTGACAATATTCTGATGGATAACAAACACCAAAAAGGTATTATGTCCACTTTGAAGTGAGGGTCTGTGGAAAAGTATGGAATAACTATCTTACCTGTTGTAGATATTCAAACAACCAGAATGATGAGCTAATGGCTAGTATAAACAAAAGCAAAACAAGTGGAATTCTGTCATCTGAAAACAACTTGAATCTCCAAATTTTATAACGTTCCGTTCAAACTCTATTTTATGCACAACTGTGCCATTATTTAAATGTTTACAATGCTATTAGTTTAACACTAAGTGTTTATTTCAGCTGAAATATGTTATTCTTGGCTCAAGTGTTGCAAATCTAAATGGGTAGTACTGCTACTAGTTGGTAAAGGAATGATCTACAAGGGTGCCCACACTTTTTCATCATGCAAGCTACTTTTAAAACAACCAAGTCAAAGTGATCTACCTGCTATAAGGCCCCATTTACACGAGAACAACCTCTGGAAATGGTAGTGGTTTTTCTATGTTTATTGGGGGTAATAAGCAAAAAATGAGCAGGTTTACACAAAACCACTGAAGCTTCTATGTCAGTCGGGTTGCCAGATAAGAAATTATGAACTATAGTAATGTCACTTTAAAACAATAGTATTTTGACCTAAACTGTCAAATGTGCAGAGTAAAGATATGCTAAGATGAGATGTGTGTTGTGTTTGATGAGCATGTGCACAGAAAAGGAGGGGGAAATAAGACATTTTAAATTTATCTGGCAGCCCTGATGCAGGGCTCAGCTGCATCACACTTCACCACTTGCTCTTGCCGAGATCGGATGCTTCTCCCCTCCCCTCCCTCTCTGCTTTGCTTTGCTGCTCTGTCTGTCTGCGAAACTGCTTGTGAGCCTCTCTTACATATCTTCTGAACCATAATTATCATTCATTCAACCTTTATTTAAACAGATACACATGGAGCCTCGAAGACTCATTTACAAGTGAGACCTGTTTGGACAGACAAAAACAGCAGTTAACTGGACACATGTAGGAGTTGGAGGCGAAAAAAATTCCTATCAGACTTTTTTCTTGCTGAGAAAAACCTCTAATATTGAAAAAACACCTCGCACAAACAAGCACATATTTACGTAGACATTCTGCATCAGAGACGAGAGCGGTCAACAACGCTTATAGATGCTCTCGAGGTCACTGTAATCAGTCAATGTCCTCTGGTGAGATCCATAAACATTCTCGAGGTATGTCGAGAAATGGCCAAGGATAACATCTATGAAAATTCAGAGTCCTGAAATGATGACACAAAGTTTATTCAGCAGGTTCATCTGGTTATCAGTTGGAAATTCCTCAGGGAGGTGTTGGTGAGCATCAGATCACATTTTCTCCAGGCGACTTTAGATAAGATGGCCTTCAAGGACAGCCAAGGCGACCAAAATTTAGATAAACACACAGTTATTTTGGGGACGGGCAGAAC